ATGGCTTCGAGAAGGACGTACGCAAAGAGCAAGGGGCACTGGACGCCTCCGTAGGACAACAGACCGTGAAGATCGCCGCCTAAGATTATTGGCATTAAGGGACCGTTTCTCCACTACCAGGTCCATTGCAAATGACTGGTTTGCAGAACACGGAAGACCTATTGGCATGCAAAGTGTTTACCGACGAATGAGAAGTTTTGGCTTGTTTTCATACCGGCCACACTGGGTCCTCCCTTTACCTCGAGAACACCGACGTAATTGCCTTGAGTGGTGCAGACAACGGTTACTCTGGGATCAGGAATGGAACAGTATTGTCTTTAGTGACGAGTCTCGATTTTGTTTAGGCATGCACGATGGTCGTGCCAGGGTTAGAAGGCGACGTGGCGAAAGGAGGAGTCCACAGTTTTTTGTTGAAAGACATGTTCATCACACTGTTGGAGTTATGGTTTGGGGTGCTATAGCTTATGGTTCCAGGTCACCTTTAATCTTCATCAGAGGTAACATGAACGCGCAGCGTTATATCCACGAAGTTCTAGAACCCCATCTTTTACCCTATCTTGACACCCTGGCAGATCCAACTTTCCAACAAGATAATGCCCGACCACATGTTGCAAGAGTCACGATAGACTTCTTTCAACATAATGATGTCACATTGTTACCATGGCCACCAAGATCTCCCGACTTATCCCCAATTGAGCACGTGTGGGATATGATGGGTAGGAGATTGCTCAATTTGCAACGTCCTCCTCAGACTCTAGAAGCACTTCGAGAGGAGTTGGTGGTTGCCTGGAATGAGATACCACAGGAGGACGTTGACCACCTGATCAGAAGCATGCCTAGGCGCGTTGGAGAATGCGTAGCACATCAGGGTGCATCCACACATTATTAAAGGTCAAAGGGCTTTAAAGCAGTGCAATCATTTTGAAATTTTTATCATTTACTTATTATGCTTCATTAAGTACTTATACAAAATTTTATTAAAATAAAACCATTTAAACTGGGTGTTCGGATTTATATGTCACTTAGTATATAATAAAATCGGACAAAAGGTTATTGCGATTTTTACTTGTCTTTTGAACTGTTCTTCGTAGAGTTACACTAGGGTTCAACTCTTGTTGGTGGTTTGGTGGGGTAGTTTAATAACACCTTGTATACTAGGGCAGTAAGCACACGACTGCCTCAATAACCAGGAAAATACTTAGCTCGAAGATACCAAATATGGCAATACTTCAGTTCCAAAGTCACAAAGAGCTTCTTCTAGGTTACAAATCAAAGGCTGTCGAGATTTATATTTGACTTCTGTAGCTGAGCGATCTTGAATTATTTATTATGTCTGTTTTATTTTGAAAATTCCTTGAATACAATTAATTTCATAATAGCGTCGCATAACTGGCTTTTTTGTTTATTAAAAAACATAAGCAGTTATTTGCAAGTGATCTGTAAATTATGTGAAATCATTTTCAAGGAATTTTCACACTACTTAAAATCGAAAACTTCGAATTTGGGTAGGCCTATTTTATGTAGAAACTCTGGTCAAAGATACGTCGTATCTTTCATCAAAGTTTAAAATTGAAATTTACCTGAATGTTGGGATAGGGTACCCTTGCTTCTCGTACGGGCACATTTCAAAATTTACAAAAACTTGAAATTAAAAACATCAAATTTCCTTTCCTACAATGAAATTCTTTTGCAATCTTTTGCTAATTTAGCAGATAAACACAATATTCGCCAATATTCTTAATAGCAACACATTTTTGTTGAGCAACTGTAGCTTAGCTAAAATTGAGATATTTTTGTATTGCTTCTGATCGGGTTCGTGTCGGTTTATAAAAAAAGTTTTAAAACCTATCTATTTTGAGACTCAATTACAAAATTTATACAGTGCTTTTCAAAAAGCTCCGCTTCAGCTTATTTTTATATTGGAAGAATCTATGAATGTGTAATAAAATATAAAGCTTTCAATTTATAAAGTCAAAATTTGTCAAACATTTTATTACACATTCAGGTGGACTTTTCTAAAAGAAGATGGATATAAGATAAGAGACTACTAATCAGTTGTCGTATATAAGCGATCCAGTATACAAGAAGGCTCAACTTTGACAGCCTGTCAGTTAGCCATTTTGGAAGATGGTAAATTTATACTCTAGGATGATAAACTACTGATAAGCAGCTTCAGGTATTTTCACGGTTTTTGGCGGCTTACAGTAAAACTAAACGTATGACATTGGCCTCTATACGTGGACGTTTGCTTGTGTAAATTAAAAAAACATTATGAACATTTTCTCGTCAGTATATGAGTCTTCCACATTTACGCTTGTCACTGTTAGTAAGACAACTTGATTGACTTGGGCGTGTTTACCCATCTTCTATATAAAGCATAGCAGTGCCTAAGGATCGAACTACAATTTTGGCATTCTGTATTAGATATATTTTCAGAAAGTGAATGAAAACAACTGTCACCTTTTCATCCAATTCATGTGTGTGTGCAAGAGCGGGTAGCACCTGCATTGAATATCGGCTTACGCAGTGTGCATTTTCCCTTAATGGAGTTCATGGTACAATTAGTCAATGTGTTTACTTATTTTGTATAGCATTGTGACGTAACCGTCAAAATCCGTGAAATAACTATCTAAATTTTTTTTAAGATGGTGCCCAATCCGCTACCTCGTAATGTCCAACTGTGACTTTTATGTTAAATTATAATTACATGATCAACGAACTTACCTGTAAGTGATATTTGATCTTAATTATGTGAAGTCCTCGTCGAAGTAAATATTTAGAATACATATCCTATTACCCTCTTTGTTCTCGTGGCGGTTGGGTACTATTACGAGGGTACTACGATATGTATTCTAAATATTTACTTCGACGAGGACGGAACACATAATGTATCAATATCTATACGACGGGGGAAGAGGAGGATCTTTTTGAAAAGCACTGTATTTCGCAAAGAAAATGTTCTACATTTAATTTAATCCACGAAACAAGTGAAAAATCGCTCGTTATCAAACACCAAAAAGAAAAAATCATTGCATGTAAGAACGCATAATACGGACAGTCTTCCACAGACAGCTGCTTCCCATGAGGTTGGTATATTTAAGCTTTCAATTTGGGTACCCTCTTCCAAAGATGGTTCTGCTGGTCACAGTAAGGTAAGTTGACAGTTCGTCGTGTGGTTTTAGAACCAGTTGGAACTGTACATCCCAGGTTCCCACTAGAAACAAGAAAGGAGTACGTATATCGTAAAGATGGTACATTGAATTTGCTGTGTCCCGCGCAAGGATTTCCAGTACCTAAAACCAGGTACATACACAATTTAGGTAGAATAGGAGACTGAGAGGGACAATGTTTCTCAAATATTAAACTTAACTGATAAAAAATAAATCATTTTTGATACTAAAATATGGTGCCATCTATTAATCTTAGCAGACAGTGATTCGGAGACAATATAGGATTTCGAACATTTTATGATATGATCGTACTTTTGGAGGGGACGATCTGATCAAGGATAATATTATATTACGCAACTACCGAAGTAGAAGTAACGAAACAGTTCATAACTTTGCTTCTGAGAATGAGGGTACCATTAATTTCAACATTAAGACGTATAGAGGCGCTTTATTTTAATTTTGTTTTCGTATAGAGCCCATTGGTACTGTCGCTCCAAAACTAACCTCCGGAGACGAAAGTAGGACAGCCCAAATCAAGCAAAACGCAACTGTGACGCTGCTTTGCCCTATGCAGGCTTTTCCTATCCCAAAATTTAGGTAAGATTCGATTAGATGGCTTCTAAAGCTGCGTCTCATTCTATTTAGAACCCATTGGTACAGTGGTACCTAGACTGACATCTGGAGATGGTATCAAAACAGTACAAAATACCAATGGAGCTACAATTACGCTATTGTGTCCCATGCAGTCATTTCCAATCCCACGATTCAGGTAGGCAACTTAAAAGACTGTTCGCTTGAAAAACCAATCCTTTCCCAATATTCAGGAAACAAAGGGTACGAGTACTGATTTCATTGTTTCAACTTTTATACAGAACCAATCGGTACAGTAGTTCCGAGACTGACCTCTGGTGATGTTGTCAGAACAGCTCAAGTTTTGAAAAACGCGACAGTAACACTTCTGTGTCCGCTTCAAGCTTTCCCTATTCCAAGATTCAGGTAGGCAACCAAAACATTTTCTAATGTATGAATTCTATACAGAACCAATTGGTACTGTCGTACCTCGCTTGACATCCGGTGATGACATTAGAACAGTCCAGACGAGGAAAAATAACACCGTCACTATGATGTGCCCAATGCAAGCCTTCCCCATCCCAAAATTCAGGTAATAGTAGTAGTGCTAGGAAGTACCAAACAGAAGATAGGGCAAGGTCAATATTCTCTACTTTTAAGCTAATAAATTCATTATCTACTTACTTACTAGAACCCGTGGGAAGTGTAGCTCCAAGGCTATCCGCCGGTACCTCAAAAATTCAGACACTGGAGGGGAAGCAAGGCAAAAGTGCTACTTTACTGTGTCCAGCCATGGCGTACCCTGTCCCAAGTTACAGGTACTGTTCTCACAAAATCATAACATCAAAATATACTTTTAGAACCTGTCGGATTTGTAAAACCGAAATTTCCCACCTTGGACAAGAGCCATGCGTTTGAGACTGTTGTGTCGCAAAGCGTCACCTTGCTGTGTCCAACGCAAGCGTACCCTGTTCCAATGATAAGGTACTACTATGAAACACCTATATTTTAGTTGCTAATACTTTCGTTATGTATAAGTAGTACCTAAGTCACAATACGTTCATAATATTCCAATTCCTAATAGAACCGATAAGCAGTACTTTGCCACGGGTTTCTTCAAAATCCAAGTACGACGTGATTCAGTACAAGCAGAACACCACATTGTCGCTTGTTTGTCCAGCTCAAGGGTATCCAGTACCTTCATTCAGGTTGGTACTTCTTCGTTTCTGTTTATTATTGCATGCTTTTGATGCTTTATAGAACCAGTAGGAACGAGAGTGCCAAAGCTTCTGTCAAATGCCAAGATGGTGTGGTTTGAAGATAAGGCTGGAGAAGATTTGGCACTGTTGTGTCAAGCACAAGGCTATCCGCCACCAATATTCAGGTAATGCCGAGGCTTAAACGTTGAAGAAGCAGGTTTTTACAAAAAAAATAAGCCGAAAATGACACAAATAGAGTAGGTATGATGAACCCCTCGGTATCCATGGTATCAGATTGTCTGCTCTATGCATTGTTTTTGATAACATACTCAGGTAGTTCCCCTCAAGATCCCTTGGACCCTTGAAATTCTCGAGGTTATACTGCATCAACATTCAGGTAAACAGTAAACTTACACAATAATTCTATGACCCCAAATATTTCATTTTTACCATTTCAAAGAACCGTTGGGTACCAGGAAACCCACCCTTCCATCCGATGTGAAGAGTATAACCATAGAAAAGCACCTTGGTCATGGTGTTTCGCTTCCATGTCAAGCGCAAGGGTTCCCAGCGCCCATGTTCAGGTAAATACTGTTCCAAAAACTGCATTTTTCTGTATCTAGAACCTGTTGGTACTCGTGCTCCAAAACTGACTGCCGAATCGAAGTATAAACATTCGGAAAAGGAAGCGAATACTGACGTTGCTATGTTTTGTCCAGCTCAGGGGTTCCCAGTTCCAGCATTCAGGTATTCCTTATACTTTCCATGCATAAAGCTTTAGCCAAAAACTAAATAATAATGTAGTTGTTGGCTATATACAAACATTTTTTGTCTTTTACGTCTCAGAGCCAATAGGAAGTCGTGCACCAAAACTATTAGCTGATTCCAAGGTGAAATACGTTGAAAGGGACTCGAACACCGATATATCGGTATTTTGTCAGGCACAGGGCTATCCAGTTCTAACTTTTAGGTAATTATCCAATATGTAGTTGGAATCTTTATGACGATACAGACGCCAACAGCATTATATTTGGGATAAATTAGATGTCAATATAAAAAAAAATGGCATCTTGAAAACATAAGGGTAACATTCAGTTTCAAGTGCAACAGTATATTCTTTCTCAGAAAACACTTTAAGGTAAGGTATATTCCATTTTTAGAACCTGTTGACGTTAAGACAACCTTATCAATGCTTTCAATAGGACAGAGGGTCAAAGCTTTGCACTTTTATGCCAAGCGCAAGGGTTACCCGTTCCCAGATTCAGGTATGTCACTGTCAAGTCTTCAGAATAGACAAAGCGAGTGGTCTACTACCTTTAATGTTCAGTGCGTATCATAGTAAGTCAAAAACATAACCTTGACTTGCAGAACCTGTAGGATCTAAAGCGCCAGCATTTTCAAGCGACATTAAACTGCTAGGGTATCAAAAAGAACATGGGGCAACCGTGTCCATGTTGTGCCCTGCCCAAGGCTATCCATCTCCAATGTTCAGGTAAATCTGACTGTGGTCATCAAAATCCAATTCAATACATGAACTTGGTTGTGATTTTTTTTTTTGGTCTTTAGAGCCCATAGGTTCTAAGGCTCCTTCCTTTTCGTCGGCCAGCAAAATTTCCTCCTATGAAATTCGGCAAGGTCAAGGATTTGCTCTACTGTGTCCTGCGCAGGCATTGCCGATCCCAAAATTCAGGTACTAGCCATAATTTTTTTAACCATATAACTTTCCCTTCAGAACCCATAGGTTCAAGAGCGCCTACGTTTTCATCTACCGCGAAAAGTTCAACGTACGAAGCAAGAGAGGGCCACGGGTTTGTGCTGTTGTGCCCTGCCCAGGCACAACCTATCCCGAAATTCAGGTACTTCAGTATTTGTTTAAAATTCACCATTTTCTCTCAGAACCCATAGGCCTAAGAGCTCCCACATTCTCCTCGACGTCAAAGAGTTTTACGTATGAAACTAGAGAAGGCCAAGGGTTTGTGCTGTTGTGTCCTGCCCAGGCACAACCTATCCCAAAATTCAGGTACTCCAGTATTTTTTTAAAATTCACCATTTTCTCTCAGAGCCCATAGGCCTAAGAGCTCCCACATTCTCCTCGACGTCAAAGAGTTTTACGTATGAAACTAGAGGAGGCCAAGGGTTTGTGCTGTTGTGTCCTGCCCAGGCACAACCTATTCCAAAGTTCAGGTACAATAAATAATAGGAATTATCATCATTCTCGTTGTCATACTTTAAAAATTATGTCACCAAACTCAAGTTTAGCTACATAAGTTTCATTATCGCTATAATGTTTCTGTTTATTTCGTTTGCTCCTATGCGAACTAATAGTTACGCCAATGCTATCTAAAAGTAATTTATTTAATGTTATTGACATTTTCCTGAAGAAAGCTAAGCTGATTTAAAAAATTATCCGAGATGGAATGAGATACTATTGCGACGTCTATAGGAATTTGTCACAGATATCATTTTTCCTTTTCCAAGTAGATATGTAATTACTGCGGAGATGGGAAACATGGCTGTGACAAATTCTTATAGATGACGCCCTGATATCTCTTTTCATATTTTTTTGGACGTATCAGGTTGGCTATCTAGTCCAGCCAAATGTACCATACAATTGTGAAAGATTGTGAAAATGTGGCTAAAATTCAAGTCTATCCGATGACAAGGTAGGTAATTGACCAATCTCCTCTAGAACCGATGGGAGTTCGAGCTCCAACATTCTCATCAGCTGCAGTAAGCTCAAGCTTTGTCACTTCCCAAGGAAAGGACTTCGTTCTAATGTGTCCTGCCCAGGCATTACCAGTTCCACGTTTCAAGTAAGTGCTTTCGGATAGAAAATATATTTATACAAGGTCAGTCGCAAAGCAAATAAGACTTTTGAAAGACATCCGATACAAGTAATGCCATCTGTTATCGGATAGGTACATCTTTCATTGTACCCTGTCAAAATTTAATGACAATCGAACCACTTCACGCGGAGTTATCGCGCTCAAAGTGTCAGTACCTTTCTGTCATCGGTCGAAAAATGAGCATCGAACATTTAGCATTTACCGAAATGCATCAGTGCCCCTATTCTTGACTTTAATAGAAAATCACACTCCCTTTCTTTTTCTACTCCCCCGGTTTTCTATCGAGTCGAAAATACTGTAATCTTGAAAGGTCTCAATAGAAAGGAGAAAGGAAATCAAGACACAAAATGGAGATAATTTTGACAGTCAAAAACTAACCAAAGATTTTGGTCAAGATTTTCTCCTTATAAGTTTATATATGGAGCTAAAAACTTAAAAAAAGCACATTACAAATGAACAAAAGGACAAAATGATTGAATTTAGAATTAAATATCTATCTCTAAAGATTCGATCCATCGCATTTTGATCAAGAATTTGGGAATGAGAAATGTGTTCACGGTTTGTTCCCTACAAGGTCACTGATGACCAAAAATTGCTTCGAATTCAACATTCGAGAAATCATCAAAGAAACCAAGCAAGACAAAGCTTTCTGTGCAACACTGCGACTGGTGACGAAAGGTGGTGTTTTCAATACGATCCCGAAACCAAGCGTCAAAGTGCCGAATGGAAGCACCCAAGCAAGCCAAATCCGACAAATCCGAAAAAAAGCCTTCGTAGGAAATTATTCACAAAGAATTCGATCCATATTCTCCTGATATGGCACCGTGTGACTATTTTCTGTTCGGTAAACTACATTTGGCCATGAAGGGACAGCGGAATGCCGACGTAGAGGCCATCCAAAAGGCGTCGACGACCATTTTGAAGGACATCCCAGTCAACGAGCCAAAATCATCATTCGAAAATCTGTGTTAACTCTTAAGGAGGCTATTTTGAAAAAAAAAAATAAATTCGATTTTACATTTACATTTTTTTCTTTATCCTGTTTACTTTGCGACAGACCTTGTACTTGCAATAATTCAATGATCCTAGTCCGATTTATATTATTTGTACCCAGTGTCCCACTTAAATATCCTCCCTTATCCACACCAACCAAGCTCGTTTATAGCAAAATAAATAACGAGAATGTGCAAATTGGTGAGAGATACCTACAACATTCAGGCTTTTGCATAGTTTTTAGGAATCCTTACAATAATTTTCTCGTCTTAGAACCAATTGGATATAAAGCGCCATCCTTCTCAAACGATGCGACGAGTATTTCCTACACTCGTGGCGTTGGTCAAGGTTTTGGACTGCTATGCTTAGCCCAGGCCTACCCTTTCCCGTCATTTAGGTATGTACTTAAAAAATAGCCATTGCCCATTATGGTACTGTGGAATGAGTTATTCTTGTTCGCCACTTGTTGAAATGGCGAACGAAAATAGTGACTTACTTATAGCTGATCTGTCATCGTTACTCTATTTATCTAAGAAAGATATTAAACCAAAACAATAGCGATCGCGTATTCAGTCAGCGGTCAGCAAGTTTATATAGTATATCTCAAGAAACGGAAGCTGTTATTGGGCAGAATATGTCGAGATCATATACAGGCCTAGCTCCTAGCTTACCTCACGCAATTATGGAGTAATCTCATCCAGTCTTATGATGAGGCTCATGTCGTTGCTCTTGACATCACGAAAGCGTTTGATCAGCTGTGGTACGCTGCCCTCCTAATCAAACTTACATCCTATGGCCTCCCAGAAAAGCTTTGCAAATGGGTGACTGACTTTATCTCTGGCCGCAAGATATCCGGCGATCTGGCTCTCTTCTACCGCTACGCCAACGGGGTTTGCTCAGAGCTCTCTTCCATGATGCCGCCGCGCGATGTGCCTGCCAGACAGACCCTCCTGACTTTGGCCTACCATCCTAACCGTATCGAACTTCGTACATCCAGAACTGGCCGATACGACCGCTCCTTTGTCCTGAGGATGTTCCGGCATTTAGGCTTCTCTGCGCGGCTGTTTCGGTATAAAAAAAGAAGCAATGCCACAGGAAGATGGAGTGGGAGACGACACGACGGTGCATGCAGTCTCGAGGGCTGAAATCGTGAAGTATGCGCGCTCATGTTTGGGTTTAGTTTCTTTCTTCGATAAACGAACTATAGTGCACCTCAGCTAAAAAATATTTTTTGACAGAGCCTGTTGGTTTCACGCCACCAAGGTTGCCTCCGAAGTCCAAGCTAGATGCGGTTACTGGCAAGATAAGCCATGATATCGTTTTACCTTGTGATGCTCAAGCTAACCCTTTGCCGAAATTCAGGTTAGTTTCGTACGTAAAAAACAATCGACCCATCATTCAGGTTTATTTCACTATTACTTCATCATTCAGGTAAGTTGAGAAGAATACTATTTTTTCAACAGAGCCAGTAGGCACTAGAGCCCCGAGCTTTTCGTCAGAATCCAAGATTTTCACTTTGGAAAGAGAAAATGGCAAGAGTTTGTCTCTCTTATGTCCAGCTCAGGGATTCCCAACTCCGATTTACAGGTATGTTAGGTTCAAAAGCTTTCATTTTTTATATTCTGTTCAAATCTTACACCGGTTTTCCGATCTCTATCGAGATCTCTATTCATATAATAAGTGGAACATGACATGCCAAATCGCGTCATTTTAAACACAAGGATTCAAAAACCGCAAAGAAGCTTATATTTGATCCCTACGTTCAGGTGAAACTTTCAGCCAGTCCATGTAATATAAATTCTCATTTTTTTGTGTGTTCTCCATAAACAGAACCTATAGGATCTAAGGCCCCTACATTTCCATCTGACTCAAAAAGCTCTACATTCGTAAGACAACAAGGAAAAGGATTTGCCCTACTGTGTCAAGCTCAGGGATTGCCTACGCCGACATTCAGGTATAAAATAATAACCACATTCACCGAGGTGACCAAACATGTCATATTTAGATAATGTAAAACTTTTCTGATTACTCTTTGATCCCGACAGAACCTATAGGATCCAAGGCCCCTACATGTTCAAGTGATTCCAAAACATCATCTTTCGTAAGGCCAGAAGGTAAAGGTTTCGCCTTATTGTGCCAAGCTCAAGGCTTACCAGCACCAACATTCAGGTACAGACATAATTCTCACGTACATATTGGTAATCTAGATTGCTGGGAAAAGGTGTACAGTCTAATGCAACACTATCCTCGCATCAGTTTTTTCTAAGCCCCAGAGTCGATAACAACGTATATATCTGTTTTGTGTTGCATTGTTTTCAGAGCCTATGGGGTCTAAAGCTCCTTCATTTTCATCTGACTCAAAGGGGTTCATATTTGAGAAGGAAATGGACAAAAGTTTAGCCCTTCTTTGTCCAGCTCAAGGTTTCCCAGCACCTAAATACAAGTAAGTAAAATAACATATTCTTTTCTTTCTACGTGACTTGCTGGCGCTTTTACTTAAGTCTCGAAGAAGGAAATCAAGGTAGGTATTACATTTTTGTAATTGTATTGCGTTTTGAAGTTAGTTAAAAAATTGAGGTTAAAGAACGTAGTAGCTGACGTAATGAGTATAGCTATCTGCGTATAATGTCATCAGAACAGAAAAAAGCATACAATCGTCATTGTTTTAATCATTGATTAACGAAGATAAACCGCCGAAATCGAATTTGGTATCGACCTAAGTATGCCTATCTTTCTGTGATATCGGCATGAGCGGCAAAGAATTTCGTTGGTTGGGAAGAGGTATTCGTGCGTGTCAGTCAAACAGCCTGGCTCTCCTGCCAGGTCACTGGGTACCCTGTTCCTAGATATTTGTAAGTTGGGAATAAATTTTTCAATTTAATATTGTAGAGCCCACCAATAATGTGGCGCCTAAAAAGGATGGTGAGAAGTACGAAGGCTGGAAAGTGCTGGCCATACCACAAAACGGAACAGCCTGGCTCACTTGTCAAGTGACTGGGTATCCTGTACCTAGATATTTGTAAGTAGTGTATACAAAATATATTAGGAGAGTCTCAAATAAGGGGGGGGGCGACCTCTTCGTTGGGCCACCCTGGATAATGGAGTCAAGGAAATTTATGCGTGATGGTAGCTTTTCTAGTATTACAAAAGTAGTGTTCGGTTTTAGCATGTATTTATAATCCATATTAAACAATAATTTTCTTGAAACAAGTTATCTCGCAGGTGTAATTTCTTAAACGTGGATTTTTTAGCGGGTGTTTAAAATTCGTGTCTCCCCATTGGGATCTCAGAGATGCGAGGTTGGTTGAAATTTGGGCATTTAGGTAACTAAGAAAATGACAATGCTTCGAAATTCATAGTATTCCAAAATGTTCTCAACGACACCATATTTGACTTTTTCAGGTAGGTAAGTGTTTTTAATTCTAATTTCAAAAATATTTCATTATCTTTCTTCAAGAAATAACTTTTTTGCCACAAAAAAACGCCCCAATAGCTATTTTCAACAACAAAATGATAAACACACCATGGGCCTAGTGAAGAAAAGCATTTACTTATTAAGTAAATTCTTTTAGTCAAATTTCTTCTGAAAGTAGTACAAACTAATCTGATGTACCTATTAAAGTCTACTTTAAGCTTTAAATCAACAAATCTTCAAAACTACTGGACTGAAGCTCATGTATTTTACATCATTATAAAGACCTTTAAAATAAGGTATCACTCGACCCCCTTTCCATTTAAGACTGTGGGGCTGTTGTCACCCCCGCTTATAGGGCTGCACGTGCTGACGTGATATTTTTGCCAAACTTGTGTCCCCCTCGAAAACAAAATCGACGAGTCTGAGCGTTTTTCCAAAAAAAAACTGAGCTGCCAGTAAATGCGTCTGTTTCGTTTTCGATGCGCCACCCTGTATGAATGTCCTCTAAACACGCGTCTCAATAACTGAAGTAATCTTTAACTGGTATGTCATAAGTTAACATTTTCAAAACCCCACTCTGAAAATATCAGTTTTATAGAATAATTTACGTTCAAAAATGTTAATGTATGAAATTATATATTTTTTGGAATCAGAATTAGAAACTCTATCAATATGTGTGAAAATCCAGGTATGGAATCCTCAAGAAAGCGTAGTGCCGCCTTGTAGAGGAGAAAATTTTAACATGCAATTGAAATCCTACCTTAAATAAAGTCGGAGAAAAATAAAAACAAATTTGGAAAAATCAATCTTCGTCTATCCTCGGAAATACTCTTAAACATAAAACTTTATTAGTACCATTTCCTTAGCTACCTAAATGCGCAGCTTTGCTCTCTCACCTAACAGATCGAGATTAGCAAATTCTGAGGTCTTGAATATAAGGGGAGTAAAAACACTTTAGCCTTCATAGCCTTCATAACATTCAAGAGCTTTAAAGCTGTTCGTGTATCGCTATAATAGCAGCGAAGTAAGAAACACGCATCAAAACTGATGGTTCTTTCTGAGGCCAAGTTTTTGCAGACATATAATAATTAGATGACAGAGCGGCTGGAGAATCTCACTAATAAACCTTACTGTATCAACAATAAAAAAACAACTAACATTCAGGTACGTTTCTTCGCCAATGCTGAGTTACACTGGTCAGTAGCTATACAAAAAGTAACATTTACAGAACCTACAAGCAACGTGTCACCAAAAAAGGTGGGTGCTGAATTTGGCGGCTGGAGGGTTGTCAACGTACCTAAAGGCGCGGTAGCTTGGTTACCATGTCAGGTAACTGGGTACCCTGTACCTAGGTTTCTGTAAGTACCATTACATATATATCTATCACACAGTCCCAACGTTTGAGTAGAGTGATATCAGGTAAGTTCAGAGCATGGTTATAAAACAATATTTCCAAAATATACAGAGTGGCCCATCCATGTGTGGACGGAAAATTACTCATAAACAAATACATTTCTTACAAAATCTATTTATTGCATGTTGTACATGACATTTGGTGGCACATTTCTAAAATATTGCCAATTTTGACCTACATATCAAACTTGTGATTTTTTAAATGGAATGCCTCAAATTTTATTTCGTATTTGGATAAACGAATTCAAATGAAGAAGATTTATATAACTTACTATGGGATTTCGTAATTGGCTACTGAGATGTAAGGCACTTCGGCAACCGTTCAATCCGCCATTTTGAAATTTGGAGTGCTGAATTTTGCATCAAAAAGAACTTACACACCTCAGCTTTTATCTTATTTGTCACTTTTCTAATTTTCATTATTGCTCATACAGGGAGGTCAAAACGCGAACTGAACTTTTCCTCAAAAATTTCAAGTTTGGATTCAATTTTTTATAAGCTTTTTTTTTGGTATAAGGTTCGCCTCAGATAAAATCACTAGATTTTGAGTTTTTAAGCTTTTAATAGAACAAAAATTAAGGGAAAAAATCACATCATCCATGGAAACCAAAGACAAACAGTGGGCTAGTTCCATACTGCCACTAAGAGTACAGATTTGACGTAAAAACTAATAACAATCATAACAGTATAAATCAGCTTCAAACGTAATAGAGAAAAACAACTATAACAACAACATAAACAAACAACTATCACTACTCAAGATCTAATCTACAAAAACTGCTAGAAAGTATTTCCACCATGTCGAATACACCGGCGTAGTCTTTGGATAAATGACCGTTGCACATCCCTCAGCATGTGTTTCCCTTATGTCCAGAAAAGCATCCTTAATCATTTCCTTAATATTTTCCGGGGTAGATGGTGGATATCTATAAGCCTCCTGCTTAACGTAGTCCCATAGAAAGAAGTTCATCGGTGTCATATCTGGTGATCTAGGATGCCAAGATATAGGCCTAACACGACCGATCCAACGATTGTTACTCCAGGTGTCCAGATAGTTATGCACACGATTTTGATAATGCACAGGTGCGCCGTCATGTTGGAAGTACATATGCCTCCGAGTTTGTAGGTTGACATCATCCAAAGGCAAAGGCAAATGCTCGATCAAAAAATTCAGCACTCTGTACCTGTTAATCCGTTGTCGAAAAAGAAAGGCCCGATAACTTGTCTGCCAATAACTCCTCCCCAAACATTCAAGCTCCATTTATTTTGGAAATCTATTTGCCTACCCCAGTAAGGGTTTTCCGTCGCATAATAGTGCATGTTATGCCTGTTGACAACACCTATGCTGTTAAAAGTTGCCTCATCGCAAAAAACAACCTTATCCACTCAATTTATTTAGCATTATTCTACTAAACTTTATTCGAGCTGCGAAATCCTGAGGACGAAGACCTTGATGCAAGATTAGGTGATATGGATGGTACCTATGCTTGTGAATACTCGTAATCCTTTGGACAGAAGTTCTGGATATATCAGTTTCTGCTCAAATTTGCCGTGCACTTAAATGGGGATTTTCCTGCAACTTTAATAGAACCTCCAACTGATTCGCCTCATTGGTGACACTTGGAATATTTATAAATTTTTTACTATATTCCTCAGCTCCATTAGATTCAAAACGTTCTCGTAATGTGGAAAATGTTTCCGACCTTGGAGATGTCGCATATTAGGGTACCGTTGATTATAAATGCGAGATGCTAGGAAACCATTTGCTTAGGCTTCGCCCAAAACGAAGACCATATTCACCATTTATTCTTTAGAAAAATTCATTTTCAAACACTTATAATGCTCACAAAGCTAATTTTGACAGTTTGTAACTAAACAATTTATTTGTTTCCAAGGATGATGCGATATTTTAGGGAATTAAGCCGTTCCATGAAAGACGTGCTAATAAACAAACTTGCACAAATATACAGGGTGATGCATTTGAAATTTTTGAGAAAAACTACAATTTGCGTTTTTGACCACCCTGTATGAGCAAAAATTAAAATTCTAAAAAGTCACAAATAGGATAAAAGCTGAGGTGTGTAAGTTTTTTTTGATATAAAATTCAGCACTCCAAAGTTCAAAATGGCGAACTGAGCGGTTGCCGAAGTAGGGAGCTTTTCTAGACAAAACACCTTATATCTCAGTAGCTAATTACCAAAACCCTATAGAATGTTATATTAATTTTCTTCTTTTGAATTGGTTCATCGAAATATGCAATAAAATTTGAAGCATTCCATTTTGAAAATCACAACTTTGATATGTAGGTCGAAATTGGGACCCTGAATAATGGCCAATATTTTAGAAATGTGCCCTCAAATGTCATGTATCATCCCAAAAATGTATTTGTTCAAGAGTAATATTCCGTCGACACATGGATGGGCCACCCTGTATTGGTCCCTTTAAAATTACTCTTAGTAAACCTACCACTGATTGGACAGGTTCGAAATATTAATTGAGAATCATATACGTCACATCCCTGAAAAATTATTGACTATGCTAAGCCAAAGAACGAGAGCAGACTTTGGAAACAGCTACTCAAAATTATGCGCACTTAACAATGATCTTAAACAGAGAAATTAAAGTCAACCTTTAGATATTGGAGAACTTCTTGAGAATCCCAATGTGCTTAACTTGTACTTGCTTCTGATAGAGTACGAGTTAAGCTATCAGATCGGTTGTACAACTTAACCTGAAGGCTATCTTCCATGTACCAATAAACTTTTCTCTCTTCTTTTGTAGAACCAACCAGTAACGTACCGCCTAAAAAAGATGGCAAAAAGTTCGAAGGTTGGGAGGTACTCAATGTACCCGGCAATGGTACAGCTTGGTTGACTTGTCAAGTGACCGGTTACCCCGTTCCTCGTTACTTGTAAGTCTCCTTTTCTCTGTTTATCATGCTTTCATTTGTCACACTACCATCGCAATGTCATTCTATCCCAACATTCTCGAAAAATGCACCATTTGAAAGTAGTTAGCTTGTGCCCACTGTTTCATAAGTTTGTCTCTAGTATACGTATGCTTTGAAATTGTTATGGAAAGCTCAAAGCAAATACACAAAAATATAGAAAACAAGATCATTATATATATATTTCCTAGTTACCTCAGCAAGGATGCACAAGAATGCAAAACGTGAAGAATAGTTTACAATTAAAATGTCATCGAAATCGCAGCTTAATAGGACTACACAGCAATAGATATGGGAGATATATACAAATAATGTTTCTCCTAGCATAGTTATCACAAAACGTTAAAAATGTCTATTATCCCTAATATGAATAAATATTTGAATCCCCTTACTTCTAGGGAGAGACTTTTTTATAAATGCCAAAGCACGGCATGTGTCAACGTAAAGTTGTGCTCCGATTCCAGTTAGCTGTTTATGTCATGTATTCATTTGTAACAACTATTGGGCTATCTGTTCCAACATTTTAGACAATAAATACTGAAAAGTGGCGTTGAGTTAGACATGATCTCACACAAGAATAAAAAGCCCTTGAGCCGGAACAAAGTAACAAAAGTTTGATCATCATCTATATATGTTTCAATTGCTCAAGTACAAACAAGGAAAGTCCATTGTTATTATTAGGAAACAAGTATGAAACATGGGTAATCTTTTGTTACCTATTGTCTTACTTTCTTGTCTGTTGGCAATTTCTAGAACCTTCTAGTAACGTACCCCCAAAGAAAGACGGAGAAAAGTTTACTGGTTGGAAAGATCTCTTCATAAGGCAGAACAAAACTGCATGGTTGACCTGTCAAGTCACCGGTTACCCTGTACCTATCTATATGTAAGTTTCGTTGTCGATATTTCAAATTTCCATCATGTCATTCATTTCTTATACACGTTAACCAGAGATATCTAGAACTAGACAGGCTTGTCGCAGTTTCTACTATCGTTTTAATTGCTACATGTTTTGGACGGAAGACACATTGAAATAAAAGTTGATCAAGTCCTACAGTAACCCAATGTGGTACCTATGTGTTAATGCTCTACTCAGTTTTCTTCTATGATGCCGCTATGCTTTAGGTCTACCAGACGAACCCGGTAGACTTTCGCTGCATATTCAAACTGTATATCGAAAACGAGTGTTGAGACTGAGGAACAATATGCACGAGGATGTATTCTTCATTCCATTTTCAATGTCAAATACAGGAGGAGTGTTTTTAGTGTGGGCTCGGTCGATAAGTTCGGTATTACGCATGATATTTAAAAAAGTTAAATACAAAAATTGTGTCTCCACACTTTTTTGATTTATACAGTGTAATTCATCACTACGTGATGACTCAAATTTAGATTTTCTTAATGGAAAGACCTACATTTTATTGCCAATTCAGATAGGCTTTGTCAAACAAAGCAATTTATATCACATAGTATATGCTTCTATTTTCAAATTGTTGAGATATAGTCTAATCATATTAGACGAAAATACCCCTGGTTTGCGAAATAATTGTAAAGTCTGGTTTTATTGGTGCAAGTTGTTCAATGGGGTATTCAAAACATAGACGCATAAAATGTTTAGACCAATTTGTATGGGAACACTTTTTATTCGACAACAAATAATGAGAAAACGTGCTTTTTGGGATTCAATCGAAAGTGTTGGTAGGAACGAAGAAATTTTTCATATAAGATTTTTAGGTATTTACGAGACCTAAAAAATGAGACACACGTAAAAAGATCCGACTAATAGCAAAAAAGTTATGGCCGAACACCGAGGCAAACTGCAGGGTTTGGCACTTGTTGGTAATGCGATGATGGTTTCTCGCAGATATTTGAAATTCCTCAAATTCGTAGAATTCCTACTTGTAGTTAACCACAACAAAATTGGAGTAAACTGGTCAAGTAGTTTTTGAGAATTTGTAATTGTTTATCCCAAAACACATGTTTTGTGGCCGTTACTACTAGCTTATTATATATATGTATATATAACTTGAGACGTGGTCATTGTCGTCTAGACCAGTTAGGTGAAAAATTAAAGCTTCCGTCGTTTGAACTTTCGAATTGCTTGCAAATCCGTCCTCACTATAAACCGCATTTTTTCAAAAATAAAAGACAAAGTCCCGCTGCTTGGCTTAACTAACACAGTCTACTCCATCAATTGCAACAACTGCTACCAAATATACATAGGTCAGACCTCCAGATCTCTTAAAGGAAGGATTACATCACACAAAAGTGATGCTAGGCTTCATCCTGAAAGATGCGCTCTAGCATCTCATGTTAACACAACAGGGCATTCTATGAATTACACAAGTATCAAAGTTCTTGATAAAGAAAAACACCTTTCCAAACGTTTATTCCTGGAAATGTCCCATATTTTCATGAATAACAACTGTATCAACAAAAAGACAGATATTAAACAACTGAGTGTTATTTACTCATATTTGCTAAACTGCGAAAAATTGGAGAAATTACATATCTCCCCAAATTTCGACTTTTCACAACCATAAATATAATCTGTGTTTTGGCCGATTCCACCAACAAATTTCATTCCACTCAAAATCTAATAATTCTCTTCTCACGATTTATTAATAATTATTAATTTAAAATTCCCATCAATTAAAATATAGTTTATTCAACTGCCTCTGGTCGGTTTAACAATTTCTTACATAACATTCTGAAAATCACATCATCTGAAGTGATTTGGCAACGTTTTGGCACACGCCCACAATTCGTTCCATCTTTTAACACAGACATTGACAACCTTCGGCCTTCTGTCAAAGGTTCATCTCACTCATTATTCCATGACCACCATTTTGTGCAATCATCAAGTGGCTTCACGACGTAATGCTCTAATGTTTTCTAAATAATTTTTAATCTGTCTTTAACTTGTCTTGTCATATTTTATATAATTTTAACCATTGTACCATGTATCCAGCTCTCACCATGTTACTGGACGTTTCCCTCATCCTATACGAAAACAACAATTAGCAACATCCTCACATACTACTGTAAGTTGATTCAATTTAAATTCATTTTACACTTTTGTTGCTACTGTTGTCATTGTAATTGCAGCTCCTGATGATGATGGCAAAGTCCATTGAAAGCTAGAGAGAATTAAAAAAAGTATAAAGAGTCCTCTTTGCTTAAATTTTGTCGAAGTACCCAACAAAAGGCGGAAGCTTTAATTTTTCACCTATATATATATATATATATATATATATATATATATACAGGGTTAGTTCAAAGGGCATTTTATAGCAAAATACACTAGTTTACCTTGCCGATATGAATCGCAAACCATTTCGGAAGATAAATGTTATTTTTATGCAAAAAACGATGGGTTACGTTTTTTCTTCTAAACAATTTGTGAGTAATTCGCAACAAAAGATGATAGAAACATCCGCTTTGTTTTAAAATTTGTTTAGTAACGTACGTTCTTCGAATATCGTAACGCATTTATTCAATTACTCACAAATACGAAATGTTTGAATTTGTTTAGAAAAAAAAACGTAACCTTTGTGTTTCGCATACAAATAACATTTACCTTTCGGAATGCTTTATGATTCATATCGGCAGGGTAAACACGTGTATTTTACTATTAAATGCTCTTTGAACGAGCCCTGTATATAGCTCAATAAACTACTTGAGCAATATAATCCAATTTTGTTGTTGTTATTTAGGAGTATAAATCCTACCGATTTGAAAAATTTCAAAGAGTTGCGTGAAATTATCGTCGCATTAGCAACAAGTGCCAAAACCTGCATTTTGACTCGTGTTTCGGCCATAACATTTTAGCTATTAGTCCGATCTTTTTACGTGTGGTCTCATTTTGTAGGTCTCATAAATTTCTAAAAATCTTATATAAAGAGTTTTTTTCGTTCCTGCCAAAACTTTCGGTCAAACCCCAAAAAACACGTTTTCTCTTTTTTTTTGTTGTCAAATAAAAAGTTTTCCTACAAAAATTGGAGTACCCATCTTATGCGTCCATGTCTTCAATACCCCCTTGAACAACTTGCATCAATAAAACCAGACTTTACAATTATTTCGGGGAAATTTGCTAATATGATTAGACTAATATTGGACAATCTATCGAGAAAAAACTTGTACCTTCGCTATCGATTATATCTAGAGAACTGAGTTTTTCGCCATAAAAAGCTTATGATCCCATATTTTCTCCCTATCTACCTACTTTTCCAATTTTTTTGGTTGGTTTATAAGAGGTGGTCAAGAACGCAAAATGAACGGATTCTCAAAAGTTTTTTATGTTGTATTCCCTTTTCCCAGGATTTTTTCTGATATAGGGTTTATGGGGGTTCGTACAACTGGTTTTTGAGTTAAAAAACAGGGATACCTCCTTAACTTTTCAACTTCATTACATAAGTTTAGGTAGATTTAATTTATTTGTATAATGAAAATACACAAATTCTAATCATCTTTAGTTCCTAACTGAATGCAATTTTTATTTTGATTGTAATATTTCTCATTTACCGATTAACAAAAAGGTTAAATGTCACCCAAAAAACTTGCATAAACCTATAATAAAAAAAAAACTGCAACAGTAAGAAGGCAGCGAAAAAAATTGAGGCTCATAAAATTCTTCTGACGAAAAATTCAGTACTCTAGATTGCCTAGTATCTCAACAACTTAGAATTGTAACCCTATAGGATGTTATATAAAATTGCTAAGTTTGACAGGGCCCATCCTAATCAGCAATAAAATGTAGATTTCTCCATTCACCTCTAGAGATAAAAATATTTTGCTAGTAAGTAGCATACTGTTGGATACAGCTTTTGTGATTCACTTTTTTTAGATACAATGGACAATAACGGATTTATCGAGCGAACCCTCACTAAAAACTCACCATGTAGTGAAGATTTTACAAAACGATTTTGGAAAAACATTGATGAATCCCCATCACCAAACCACCAATGTAATTCCGGGTCAAAGCGATCAGTTACAAATGAACGCATGCCAGGTAACTTACTTTGAAAGGTCTTCGGTCGTTAGTTAGTTGAGCTGCCACCCATCATGGTAAGTCGGGCGTTTTCTGGAACAAAAATGTACGTTAGAATCACTTAAGAATACAGAAGAATAGCTTAAATGAAAATCGAACCAACCGTAATTATCATTAGTTATTTTATTCATAAAAATATTATTTTCTTGAGGCGTGATAAAAATCTTTGCATTTGTCAGTGAGAAACTCAGGGTACCATATCTCGTATCACATTTGCCTTAAAGTTTGCTGGAATATCTCGAAAACTGTTTCTTTGCAGAGCCAACTAACAATCTCCCGCCTAAGTTGACTGGAGAGCGAACATTGGGCAAGATATTGTCATTCTCCCAAAGATCTACTGCGGTACTCTTGTGCCCTGTTGTTGGATACCCATTTCCCAGATATAAGTAAGCCTCAATATCGACCTAATTCGGGGATAAAGAAAATGATTATCCCAAATACCATTATATATCCACGTAGTGATGTAATGAATATGGACTTCTATTACATATTTTTTTTTGAGAAATCAACTTCTTTCGTAACAGTGCATATGTGGTTATAATTTGTCAGATAAGTTGAGGAATTTCAACTTTCAGAAGTCTTCTTTTCTTCGAGCATGTTTTGATGTGGTGTTAGAGAAGAGAAACTAATATCCATTGTACCATAGATATTAAATATCCCTGAAAGTTCTCAAATTTAAAATCAGAATATAAAAACCAGATGCCACTTTCCACAGGTAAGTTTGAGGGCATGTGTGTTGGTGATTTTCTAGAAAGTTCTACTGGTACAGAAATAAATTGTTTCATTTCCACTGCAAGCATAGGTATGTATGGTAATAATAATAATGTAGGAATATTCTCATTATTGGTGAATGTGCATATTATATTATGCATAGTGCTTCCACCATTCTGCTGATGTCTTTTAAGTTTTGCATAATAGAAACATAGCAGGCCGCGCGGATTGAACGTCAGTACTGAATCTTAACCTCACTCTTTAGTAAACTTAAATTCAAAGTTTTACAACAAGACTGTGTTCTCACTACAGTGAATTTTTAAGTGTCACCAAGTCAGTAGAAAAATGGAACTCAACCGAGAAGATTTTCGCGCCATAATTTGTTATAACTTTGAGAGACAATTATCGCAACAAGAATGCCTTGCTGAGTTACTGTCTGTTTTCGGCAACGAAGCACCACATCAGTCGACAATTTCCCGTTGGTACGGAGAATTTAAACGTGGACGGGTGAGTCTTAGCGACAATCCCAGGCTGGGTGCACCACAAACGGCAGTCACCCAGGAAAACTCATCATTGAAGATAGATATGTGACATATCGCGAGATTGAGGCGTCCTTGAAGATCTCAAAGACCTCAATTCAAAAAATTTTACATGAAGAATTAGGAGTAAGAAAATTACTTTCTCGTTGAATACCCCAAAGTTGATCGAAGAGCAGAAAGCAGCCAGGGTTGATTGGTGTCAAAAAACGCTTGACCGTTTCAATTCCGGAAACTCAAAAATGTACAGCATTGTTAGTGGTGATGAGTCGTGGATTTACTGTTATGAACCAGAAAATAAACGACATTCGGCTGTTTGGGTGTTCCAAGGTGAAGAAAAGCCAACAAAAGTCATCCATTCTCGAAGTGTTTCGAAAAAGATGGTCGCGATATTTGTGTAAAAAGCGGGTCATATTGCAACAATTCCTCTTAATGAGCAAAGAACTGTTACTGCGTATACCACCATTTGTTTGCCAAAAGAAATCACCGAACTTCGAAAAATCAACTCCGAAAGAAGAATCAACCTCCACCAAGACAATGCAAGCTCGCACACAACCCAAAAAACAAGGCAGTATTTAACGGAAGAACTATAGTCCTGATCTAAGTCCTAATGATTTCTTTACTTTCCCGAAAATTAAAAATAGACTGCGTGGTCAAAGGTTAAAGTCACCAGAAGAAGCAGTTGATGCATTCAAAAATGCCGTTTTGGATATGCCAGCAAACGAGTGGAATAAGTGCTTCGAAAATTGGTTCGAGCGCATGCAGATGTGTATTAATCTTCGTGGAGAATATTTCGAAAAACAATAAAGTCATTTAAAACTACCTACCGTGTTATTTCGATATGCAAAACTTAAAAGACATCCCTCGTATGTACGTATGGAAAACTTATGAAAAGGCGGTATCAGAAAGTAAAACAGTCCAAGTAGAAAATAGGAAGTCATTTTGACTTGTTAAAATATACGTCAAATAAAAAAGTATTTTAAAAATTAGGAGAAATCTAAAATCTCACATTTTGGAGATCATCCGGATAATTAAAAATGCTGAAGTATAACTGTCTAGCTATCAGTCATTTCGAGACATACAAATACATAAAATTGCCGTCTTAAATACATAAAAAAAGTTTTTGCTTTTCGGTTTAATGTGATCCGAAATCTGCTGGAAAACACAAAAATCTACCAAAAAAAATATCGACTCTACCTGGCGAGCGTCAAAATAAGTAAGATCTGACTAACATAGATTTTAACATATCATATCAGTACGGGATGTAACTAAAACGTTGCCGCCGGCTCTTGGAGTATTACGGGTTTAAAAGCACTGATCAATGAGCTGATGTATGGGCCGTCCCTGTTTTGGTGATTCGCTCATAGATGGCCCGAAATTAGGCCAGCAATCTGCGTGTTTTGCTCCGCATTTACTGACGCAGTCTTGCCAAACTGGCATAGAATGTTTAGAAAATGCTACATTCATACCGAGCTTAATTGAGTTTTTTTACTGTTTTTGGTAGTTACGTCGAAAAGTTATACGAAATAAGTAAACATATCATCTTTAGGCCAAGCTGTCTAGATAACTGGTAACCATATCAAATAAACAATTTTAGGTTAGAAAAAAATGGATTTCAAGTTAACATTCCTCTTTTGTTGAATATCTACTATAGATTTTGAAATTAACTTCTGCTAACATGACGCGGAAAGCGCTGATGGAACGGACGATTGATATCCTCGCCAAGAATAAATGTCTGAACAAAAGTAAATTTTACCAAAAAATAACGAGTGGTGGACATCCAAACAGGATTATCTATCTGGCAACACTGCATTTACCTCTAAACAAATCAGAACAGCACTTGTTTAGATAATATCTGCTGTTTATGAGACGCCATGTTTTTGGTTACATCTTTTATCTCTCTCTAATTTATCGACCTTTTCTGTATCCTCTTGCTATAACTACTCTACGATTCAAATATACTGTTACACACTACTCGTATGTGTTCTGTAATATGTTAAAATGGATGTAACCTGAGCATCTGAATACTGTAATTTTCTTCAAACGGGCAATATCGAAACTATTTCATCATTATTATTGATGTTGTTTCATGCAGAACCGACCAATAACATGCCGCCAAAATCTTCTGGTAGAAAGATTGACGGCAGTATAGTGCAGGAAGTTGCCGTTTCCAAAGACGTGGTGGTAACGTGCGACGTTGTGGGTTACCCTGTCCCTATTTTCAGGTAAAATCTATTGTCTAACTTGTTTTATATGTAGAACCAACGGGTCAGACAGGGCCTAGAATATCAGGAGATGGATTAACGAAACTCACTGGAAAGATTAGGAGCAGCATCGCACTTTTATGTGACGCTCAAGCCTATCCTACACCAAGAAAAAGGTAAGTGGTAGATGAAAGCTTTTAGAAAGATCCATCGTATACATTTCACAATAGAAAGCTAGCTAAATCGCCCAGCAACATTTTTCACAGGAACTTGTAGACTCCTTTGAAAAACTCGATCTAACATGTTCTTAAAATTCATACTGACAGGGCCGTGATTATTGTTTTTTCGGGTTTTGGAAGTTCAGAAATATACTCAGCTATGGTTGGGGAAAAGCACAGCTATAAAGTGTTTTTCGCAGAACCCAGCAATTTCAAAACTACCGGGAAACGGTTCTAGGAACCTTGTTGGTATGCTGTGGAACCTGACAGCAGATTTTTAACTGTTACGAAACAGTGAAATTAATACTCAACGAGCATGTTGAGAAACAAATATATTAAATAATCTGCTGCGCTGGAGATATACGAGATGCAAGGGTACAATTATTCATAATATCATCATCAAGATACGATATAGAATATTTTCAATACAGAGCCCACAGGTCAGACTAGACCAAAAATATCTGGAGATGGTTGGACAAAGCAAATGGGTGAAAACAGGACTGACATTGCTTTGCTGTGTGATGCACAAGCTTTTCCAACACCGAAGAAAAGGTAAGTTCGCAGTTCTGGACAGTCTACATCATGAGGAGCGAATACCAAAAACGAATTCTTGCCTTGTGCTATGTAGGAATAATGTGGGCGATAGTACTTATACATGCTGCTAATAGATCATCCAAATGGAAGAATTCAATACCTACAGTACCCCATCCCTCTAGTCTACCCTCAATCCTCACACTTCAAATAAGTCAATGTACATAGGTATCTTGTATTTAATATTCGCTCTTCTTAGAGAAGCAAGGGACCTGTCGCATTTGTACAGGTATTTATCTATCTCTCTACACACATATAGAGCCTACTGGATCTGTTGGACCTAGAGTAAATACAAGGACTATTGACATTAAGACAGTGAAGGCAAGTGAACCTGCAGTAGCCCTTTGTCCTGCACAGTCTTTTCCTGTCCCAGCTTTCAGGTAAATAATAATGCATCATAAAATGTGCTCCGAATTCTGATCAAGGGAAAGGGAAGCTGGGTCAACAATCACCATGCCATTATACAATTTTTGTTTAGGTGTTGCTTATCTTTCAATATATTTTTTTAATTTGGTATAATCATGTACAGCTTTTATTTTATCGAATATACCAATGAATCAGCTTGGGCAACCGTTTACTCATTCTTCACATGTCGCATTTTGTTAAATATTTGATAAAACGGCGAGCGTAGCTCGTACAATTGTAATTTGTTTAAGAAAATAACATTTCATGATTGCAAATTATCAAACTGGTGAGAAATTAACAGGTTCATATAGATACGATGGTCGTTTTCAAAGTAAGAATCGATTGCGGATTATGCGCACGTATCTTATCATGTATCGTCCGTTCAACCTCAGACACTCTTGAAGTTTCTCACAAGGCCGCCATTACGTTTCACGTCTCTGACCGAGCTGGCTTTGTGATTATACGTAATTCGGTTTTTAAACGCAAAAAACTCCATTCTGGTGAAGTGCACCGGCAGCTTATTGTTATTGATTCAAAACCGCCAGCGGGGCCTGCTTTCTGGCGGTGTCGCTTTGCTTCACGGCACCGCTTGGCTTTCCATCAAAATTTCGTTATCTTCCAAAATTTAAGGATTATATTAGCGGAATTTCTTGGTGGAAAGCGCTTTAAAATAAATAATAATAAAATAACATGTTGAAAGTAACACTTACTTAGGTTTAACGGTCAGGAGGTAGCCATATTTGACGATGGAATCCAAAACCTGGTACCATGACTTGACAAACGTTCAAACCGAAATTATCCACGTCGGAATGGAGGAATACATCCCTCACACAGTGAAAGTTCCTAAACCAGGGTCCAACGGCTGGTTCAACAAATCGTGTGACACTGCTCGCCAGCAGAAGATCAAGGCCCACAGAACCTACTTACAAAACCCCACTGTAGAGAACAGACAAGCCGACGTCGAGTCCAGAAACAAATATAACGAAGCGGTTCGCAATGCCAAAAACCAGCATGATATAAAAGTTAGGCACAGGGTAATGTCGCAGCGCAATGGCAGTCGGTCTTTCTGGACGCTGGCCAAGCAGATTGAAAAGAACTTCTCACACAGTAGCCTTCCACCACTTACGTGTCAGGATGGAACTATTGTATTCGACTCGAAGGCCAAGGCGGAAGTGCTAGCCAAGATCTTTGCTGCCAACTCCACCATGGACGTCCCCACCAACGCCCAAGTGCCGTCAATTCAAAGGGTTCCCCACACTATGCGGGAGGTAACATTCAGGCATAAGACCGTAAGACGAGTGCTCTTGTCGCTCGACATCAACAAAGCTTCTGGTCCGGACTTGATTCCTGCCATTGTACTGAAGAGATGTGCAGCGGAGCTTGCTCCAGTTCTTTCGCGTCTCTTCCAGATATCTTATGAATCCGGCACCTTGCCAGAAAACTGGAAATTTGCTCATGTACAGCCAATCCCAAAAAAAGGATCTAAAACCGACCCCTTACAACTACAGGCCTATAGCTCTGCTTTCTGTCATAAGTAAAGTGATGGAGAGGTGCATAAATCGCGAGCTTCTGGAGTACCTCGAACGTCACAGCTTGACTAGCGACAGGCAGTACGGTTTCCGGCACCAACGATCCACAGGGGACCTCCTAGCTTACGTCACGCAACTGTGGAGTAAACTCATCCAGTCTCATGGTGAGGCTCATGTCGTTGCTCTTGACATCACGAAAGCGTTCGATCAGCTGTGGCACGCTGCCCTCTTAAGCAAACTTCCATCCTATGGCCTCCCAGAAAAGCTTTGCAGATGGGTGGCTGACTTTATCTCTGGCCGCAAGATATCCGTCGTAATTGACGGATTCTCCTCTTCATCCCACAACGTCAACGCGGGTGTTCCCCAGGGATCGGTCTTGGCTCCAACACTGTTTCTCTTACATATCAACGACCTCCTTTCCTGCACGATCAACCCAATCCACAGCTTCGCTGATGACAGCACTCTACATGCAGGAATTCAGAGTGACAAGCCGATCTCTGCCGCTGAGCTGGAAAAAAGAAGACTAGCGACGACTTCTTCTCTGACAAGAGACCTGGAGGCTATCACTGCTTGGGGACGCAACAATCTTGTACAGTTCAATGCTTCCAAAACACAGTACTGTACTTTGACGATCAAAAAGCGTCCTAGCGCTGATACAGTTTCGATGGACGGCCGAGTTCTACCAAAGAGCCATTCATTTCGGCTGGTCGGAGTCCAGATCACCGAGGACCTGATTTGGCACGAACACATCTCTTCAATAGCTGCAGCTGCTGGGAAAAAGCTAGGCTATTTGTTTAGGGCTAAGAAGTACTTTTCTCCGCATGACATTCTCACTCTATACAAGGCCCAGATAAGGCCTAGCCTCGAGTATTGCTCACACATTTGGGGTGCTGCCGCCCCGACTACATCGTCCATGCTCGATGCTGTCCAGAGGAGGGCGGTCCGACTGATCGATGACTCTTCTCTAACAGACAGTCTCGGGACTCTTTCGCACCGGCGGGTCGTCGGCGATCTAGCTCTTTTCTATCGCTACACCAACGGGCTTTGCTCCTCAGAGCTCTCTTCCATGATGCCGCCGCGTGATGTGCCTGCCAGACAGACCCGCCTGACTTCGGCATCCCATCCTAACCGCGTCAAACTTCGTACATCCAGAACTGGCCGATACGACCGCTCCTTTGTCCCGAGGGTGTCTAGATTCTGGAACAATCTACGGGAGGAAGCTTTTCCCAGTTCTACTAACCTTAGGCAGTTCAAAAATCGTATCAACAAAATTTCTTTGGGATCATCATAGCAGCCGCGGTGTTCCGGCATTTAGGCTTCTGCCTGCGCGGCTGTATAAAAAAAAAAAAATATTTAGGGTTAACAAGTACAAAAAAATTATATTTTAGTAAGTGACAATTTACGTTCATAAATAAAGCTTCTCTGATTCCATTACCAAACGGTTCTTACTTAAAAAGTTACCCTCGTACTTATCATGGCTTTTTATACATGAGAAAATCAAAAACTTCTATGGATTTTTGCAAATATTGTGTGTAGTATCTTCATTACAGCTTATTTCAAATGACACTCCAAGTTTGTAATATGACCAAAGTATTTGTTAAACAATGTCCGGGTTTAAATAATGTAAATAAAAGCTGTACACAACAATTCTTCCTCCAGACCATCTTCAACCCTTCCTTCTTTTGTTCTAGGTGGTACAAGTTTATCGAAGGCTCAAACAGAAAACAGGCTGTGACACTGGACGAACGCGTGAAACAAGTGGCCGGCACTCTGATCATCCGTGAAGCTAAAGTCGAAGATTCGGGCAAATACTTGTGCGTGGTGAACAACTCTGTTGGAGGAGAGAGCGTGGAGACTGTACTGACTGTTACGGCACCGTTGAAGGCGAAGATCGAACCACCTGTGCAGACTGTCGATTTTGGAAGACCTGCAGTTTTCACTTGCAAATTTGAAGGTGAGGCTCGGATATTGTCACTGCTTTCTGAGAAGCCAATGATGCAAAAACAATCTAAAAAGATTGTTAACTAGATGTACACTCTTTCACAGAAAATTCTGTTGATGACCACCCTCCCCCCTCCTGAGACCTGAGAAACATTCCTGTGGGCGCCCATGTTTGCAGCTTGAAAAAAAATCCGTACGACATGAAGCAAAGCAGTACTTTGCGCGGCAGTTTGCGTTCACATTAAAAATTCATGAATACCTACCTGTACAGGAACACAAATTGCTCTCAAAAACCTCATAGAAATTCTGTAATGAATGAAAAAAAAAACTAGAAATATGTGGCATATCTTCTTTTCTAAAAAGTAGATATGTTTGCTTTTCAGTATAATTATCTTACAACAAATGTAAAATAAGAATCTACTATGATAAATAGTTCCTGATTTGCTCAACTTGAAATAATTTTTTAAAATTTTTGAAGCAATTATAATATAGTCAACGCCAAACAAAGTGGCGTGCACGTCATCAAGGTGGGTGTGTTGAAAAATTTACATTGTTGCCAAACTTTTTGTAAAATAATAAAATTTATTATTTACATATCTAGGTTTATAAGCAATATTAACCTCAAATGAGAACAAAAATAATAGTATAATAAAATTATAGATCTGTACTTGCATAATCATTAAGTACGACAATTATTGATCAGATGACACTATGAAACTACCATATTTAATTGATAGCTTAAAGGTACTGAATAAAAATCCAAATGGGGTCCTCCAAATTTTATGCATGGTATTTATTTTACAGAATTCATACAGAAAAATGCATTCTAAAATTAGGTAAGCTACTGGTGTAAGCTTTTTCTGTACAATAAAGTTAGTCGGAGTTTCTTTCTTCAGCGCTGTCTGAATCTGAATCTTCATCACTCTCAAAGTTGATTATTAAAGGTTCGATGTCTGGTCGATCAAAAATTCGTTCTCTTTCATACCATTTAAAAATTTCTTGCTCAGTATGGCGAACACTATTTTTCCACATGTCTGGGGTAACCGTTTGTAGAGCCTCGTTCCACATATCCAAACAGTCTTTTTCACTGTTACCATCTCTACCAATATGTCTGTTATATTAACCTTTTGCTATGCCCCAAATTAACTCAATAGGGTTAAATATACAATGGTAAGGAGGCAGACGAAGAACTTTGTGCCCATGTTGTTCCGCCAATTCATCAATCACGTATATTTTAGGTGGTTTGTTTCTAAAAAAGCAGTTATTTTAAGAATAGGAATAAACAAAAGAAATATAAACTGTCGACCAAAATATATATAATTAGGAAGCATTATGTACCGAGCAACAATACTCTCTCTGTTTTAAACATTGTGTTTAAAAATGGTATGTTTTGATTTGTCAACCAGTCTTGGATATTTTTTTTTGTCCATGCATTGTTGGGCACTTTGTTCAATATCATGCTGTGATAAGGGGCGTTATCCAGTATAATCATAGATGGACTCTCCAATTTTTCTAATAACTGATGTTGAAACCATTTCAAAAAATGTATCTAAAATATATTAGTTTTAAATTTTATAGGGCAAATTGTGTAAAAGTACATAACTTTTACCATCTGTTTTAATAGCTTTCACGCTTTTTTGGTTTCCATTTTGCCAAGAGCGACCTATGGTCCCATTTTGAAATATCCAAGTTTCATCGAGGAAGACAAACTGGTATAAGGCCTCGACCTTGGCTTGATTGTATTGCCTTAGAAATTCCACCCTTTTCAAAGCTATTCTTGGTAGTTCCATGAGCCCTCGTCGCGGATTGTCCTTAAGCCACTTAAATCCAAGATCTCTAAGCAACCGCCTTAAAGACGTGGCACTACCATCAAATAATGCCCTATCTCTTAATCGAGACCATAAAGTTTGTATCGTAACTTGTTCTTCTGAAACCATGTGTAATATGACATTATAATTTAGTTAACAAATTAATGCAAATTTCTGATAAGTTATTATAATAAGATCTTACTTTTGTGATACATATTATAGATCACTTCTCGAATGGCACTTGTATCCAATGTCGCTGTGTTGGTTACACGTTTAATATAACTCCGCTTTTTCTTGGGCGATTCTAAATTTGCATCACTTTTCACACCCTCGGAAATACGACTAACTGTCCTTAAACTAATTTTTAAAGCAGCAGCAACACGCTACAAAAAATGAAATAAAATTTCACTATTATTAATATACATTACAATATTATAATTATTAGTAACCTACCTCTTGAACAGCATTTAAAGGCAACAAAGGCCCGTTGTTGTCCCTTTCTTGCTCAAAGTAGTGCATTAACGAGGCCACGAGTTCCTTACACCGACTATTTAACTGTTTGGGCATCTTTATATACCAAAATTGCCTTTATCTACTCGTAAAATGAATAATTTTGTTTTGAAACAAACAGTTGTTGATTTACAGTATGCGGGGCCAAAGGATTTATAAAGATTTGAAATGCCACAAATTGATTCAGTGTCAAAATTAATACAAATGTCAGTTCCCAGTTTAAATAAGTTTCAAGGTGACAATGTGTCAACGCTGCGAAATCGGTTTAGTGCGTTTACATGTCGATAAGTGATTGGAGCGTTTGCAAAACATTTTATTTCGCATAATGCGTCTAAATTTATCAGAAAGCAACTTATGTGATATTTTAATAACAATGTTTATATTACTATTAACCATAATAAGAGAGTAATGACCATTTTACAATTTATATATCACATTAATATGAAACTGCAATAGAGCAATTGTTTGTGATAGAAACCTAGGCATTAGGTCGGGGAATTTTTATCGTGATGACGTGCACGCCACTTTGTTTGGCGTTGACTATACATTCACGTTAAAAAACAGCGCCTTCTCTACATCTTGTGTAAGTTTTATTGTATTACGGGGCTTGGTAAATGGCTCAAAAAATTATTTTGTCAGTCAGATATTCCTATAACAGAAATCCGAATTTTCATCTAATATAGATCTTTGGTTAGATCAAAAGTGTACATTTACTGAGCTAATATTGCGATTGCATCTGTAGTCTAATCATGTTAGACGAAAATACCCCTGGATACATAAATTTTATTTCCCAATATATTTTTCAAACTATCTGTTACCATCCATACACCTTTTTAGAAAAATTTATAACTCCTGTTGGCATCAACATATTCAATTTCATTTCAATCATTCAACTTTGGAACTTCATTATGGAAAACGGAACATTGAATTCCTGTGGAACTTCCAACGAATAACTCATATTTTTTCTCTTATCACAGGTAATCCTATCAAGACTATAAGCTGGCTAAAAGACGGCAACAAGCTCGACCACTCTGACGCTGTGCTTCGTATCGAAGCTGTAAGGAAAGAAGACAAAGGCATGTATCAGTGCTTCATCAGGAACGACCAAGAAAGCGCTGAAGCAACTGCTGAGCTGAAGCTTGGAGGAAGGTTTGAACCTCCTCAAATCAGGCACGCATTCGACACGGAGACTGTCCAGCCGGGTAATTCTGTCTTTCTGAAGTGTATCGCCAGTGGAAATCCGACGCCTGAGATCACATGGGAACTTTACGGTGAGTAAATCAAAAAACCTATACGAGCCCCTTCCCACTTCAGTTGGCCCACTTCAAGATTTGTACCAAAATATGCCTTTTATAAATTAAACATGACGAAACTATTTATTTCTAAAACAATTTATTTTCTCAAAAACATTTCAGATTCACATATTTGAAATCACTTAGACCTATAATTAATAGAACATCTGAACAAATAAACAATGTGCGAATAAATGCGCGAAGTTAACAAAGCAACAATTGAAAGATTACAATTGGGTAACATCACCTTTATTTTTTATTACGGCTGAAATTCTTTGGGGCATAGTGTTAACAAAGTTTTGGCAAAAATTTGGTGTAAAACAATCCCCTATTTCTTGAAACTTTTGTCTCAGTTCGGTGATTGTACGAGCAGGATGTTGTCGTAGAACCTTTTTCATCTCGTGCCACAATGTTTCAATAGGTGACAGATCTGGACTGCTACAGTATATTCAGATAAGAGATAGACCGGACATAAACAAGACCACGTGATCATCGAACGCTGTAACATTCGGCAGGGACGTATTAAGAGTCACGCAGTACATATTTTAGATAGTAGATGCTGCTTTGCGTAACTTTGTAGTAAATTAGCACAATTCGATGTGTATACGATTGGTGATGGATATAGGATCATGTGGGGGTGGGGTAAGAAATATATAATGATGTAAATATACATAAGGGTTTCAAAATTTTCGCTTCGATTTCCAGCTTCGGATGCCGCCTGATGTTTGGTGAAATACAGTCGAACATAATCTCAAAATGGCGTTTAAATTAGCCTAAATTAAAAATAATCGTATATCTCTTAAAATTGCTTTTAGAATATTGATTAGTATATTTTTTGATTTCTAGGTAAATATGTAACCAAATTAAAACGTTCAAAACGTAAAAAAATGTGCATGGTTGAACATTGTCAGAAAGTAGATTCTTGAATAGGTTTTGCCAAAATGGGTACAAAAATGTCAATAATTAATTAAAAAATACAGTAGCTTCATAATTACTTATAACTTACCGAATTTGATAAACGACATCTTTTATTGGAGAAATGAGCTTTCATCATCGCTACTGCCTGAAGCACCAACGTCAATAATGAATGGCTCGACTTGTTCCTCTAAAATATTGTCCAGTTCCCACATTCTCTTTTCAACTTTGTCTTTCACGTGCTTAATACAGTTTTCCCATTTTTGCGCTGTTATTAATTCTAGTGCTTCTTTGAAAAGTCCTTTGAGGTCACAAAATTTAAAAGTTGTATTGTGCTTAGCTATATAATTTTTAACCTCTGCCCATATGAGCTCAATGGGATTGAGCTCGCAATGGTATGGAGGTAAACGGAGCACAGTTTTATTTTGACTTGCTGTCATTTCGTCAATGGCGTATTTTTGATATTCCGCCTTGTGATCCTTGACAATTCTTAATAATTGTACTTTCAGCATTGCTTCTTCAAAGTTGATATTTTTCGAGCGGAGCCAATTTTGAACATCAACTCTCCTTGAAGCCGTTGTTGGGACCTTCTCCATTCTTCGAGAATGATAAGGCGCATTATCCAATACAATTACTGCGTTTTCCTCTAAGTTCGGTAAAATTTTTGAAAACCGCTGTTCAAACGATTCGCCATTCATTTCCTCGTGGTAATCTCCAGTTTTCTTAGACTCAAAGCACCACAGACCGTCAACAACAAATCCATCCTCACTGCCAATATGGCAGATAATGAGCCTTTTCCCTTTACCTGGAAATCGAAGTACTAACTGGTGTAGATTTATTTCAATAAGCGAACCTTTTTCAAATGTTTTCATCACATTCAGCGTTAAAACATTGAGACATGAGTATCAGATTGCTATAATTGGGATTATTTAGTCATATTGAAAGAAAGAATATTGAACGTCGTATGATTACTCAGCGCTTCACAATTTAATTTAAAGTTATAAACCTTTAAAAAATGAATGATCAGGAACCTGAAATACGCGCAAATAGTAATATTAACAAATTATAACTTTATAAAGCTTAAAGTATGAATTGAAATGATTAGAAATATTAGGAACGGTACACAATATAAAACTTAGTAACTTTTTTTAAGTTTATAATATTCGACATATTTTAAGATTATATTAAAAAATTATTGAAATATCGAAAACACATAAAAACATGGCTTAAAAAAGTTCTAACAAATGAAAATGACAATAAAACATCCACGCATTTTATCGAAAGTTATAAAAGTTTTGTTACTTGTAATATGTTTTATCTGCCCCCTGGAATTAATGTTTAGAACCTTGTTCCCAAGGTATGAAAAATATCCGATTGTTGTCTATTACTCGTATTTACCTGCTGGATTTTTTAATCCGGTGGACAGTCCATCTAGAAAGGCCCTCCTGGATGAAGTTACAGAATCATCTACCCATACTTTACTTGTAGTGTGTCCTGCGTTTACCCACGTTTCATCAAGGTAATAAATCTTCCTGTTTTGATTTCTATATTTCCCAATTTTTGTTAAATAATCCCTCCTCCATAGCACAATTCCTTCTCTATCCAGTAGTAAACTATTACGACCCCGTTTTTTCCATTTGAAATTTAAATGCTTCAGTAACGCATGGAAAGTTGATCGTTTCAAATTTGGCAACGTTGTATCTCCATTTACCTCCTGCAGTACTTTATCTATAGTAGGTATTTCATTCCTAAAGAAGAATTCATGCACTTTCCTCCTAATCGCATGCTTATCAGCTTCATCCAATGATTTAACAATACTTTTGCGATGTTTACTGGTCATTGGCTCAGAAAAGGTGTGATTTTTTTGTATTGTCTTAACACATTAAACACTGATGCGCGACACACCCCAACTTTGTGAGAAACCTTCACAACAATTTCTTTGATGGTTGATGCCTCGTTCTCCTCGCGCTCGATCTTATATATATTCAAAATGACCTCTTTCATTTCTGCACTCAGGTGTCTTTTTTTAGAGCATTTCCTAGGTGGACTACAGGAGTTTACAACTTCATCGGCAGTATCTGTACTACTGGGCATTTTGCGCAAGCAGTTGATAACGATAACAATCAATAACAAGGTATAACAATAACAACGACAAACTCAACAACTTAATAAGATAACAAACGAAAACGTCCAAAGAAATATCAAATTGCAATGATGCACACGACATACGTAACACGTCTGAACCTGAATGTGACTCTGCCTTGATACGACTGCTCTGCCGCTCGGCATAGGCATTTAATTGCGAATTGACCAATGAGGGTTCCTGCTTTACGTCGAGACGGCGGCGTTAGCGTGAAAATCACCCGAACCTTTTGTTTACATCCGGTCTATCTCTTATCTGAATATACTGTAGAAACCCATTTCAAAAGTGGTACATTATTTTCTTCCATCCATTTTATAGCCTTTTTTTACTGCGACTGTCAACCAACACAAACTTCGAATCGGGCCTCATCACTCCATTGTATTGCACACCATTGTTGAGGTGTCCATTGTCTATGTTCTTTAGCCCATCTAAGCCGATTTTTCTTGTGCAGTGGAGTTAATAGTGGCCTTTCTTTGGCCTAATAACAAGTTGTGCAACTTTAGGGTTTTTACTTCACTTTTTTATAAGAAAACTTACCTTGCAAGTGCTAAATCCCAGTTTGTGGGCCTCTCTATGAGTTGTGGACCTCGAAATTCTCCTTCCAACAGCGTCACTCGACAGAGCACTTAATTGTAAATAATTGGCACGTCTGTTTTTTACGATTATTCTTCTTAAAGCTCTTCGGTCGGCATTTGTGATATTATTACTTTTTTTCACATATCGTGGCTTAATATTAACTGAACCAGTTACGTTATGTCTTCTAACAATATTTCTCACATTGTACCGCGATAAGTCTAACAAAGTTGCAATTTCTGAGTTTGATTTCCCAGAATTAAAAATTTTAATTATCAGTAACTGAATTTTCTCACTAATAACCTTTCCCAGAACTATTATAAACGTATTTTGACAGCTGTGATTAATAAACAATTGTCATGGCTTTTATTTTTCACAGCCACCTATGCGTTATAGACTTATTTTGCATTGAAATGAAAATAGGTTGATATGCTGTAATTGCAACATGTGTTATTTTTATGCTGCAAGTTTGATTTTGGAGTGATAAAGTTGGTGTTTTCTACTATATATTATCAAAGTATTCATTGTTGATATTTTAAGCCTATAAAACACCCTGCTACATTTTTATTATTTGTGTTTGATAAGAAAAAAACTAAGATTTCAATAGTTGGGCCAACTGAAGTGGGAAGGGGCTCGTATATAAATGAATCGATCAGTACAGAAACCTCGTACGTCCTATAATTTGAGTAGACAATAAAAACTCCGCCACTAACTAATAAATAAACCGGTTTTAGAATACACTTTTTGGACTTAATGTTTTATTTGAGTTCTCAGAGATTGAAGTAAATCTCAAATTTTTTTAATAATAAAGTCCCGAAAAACGTTGTTTTACTAGAAAATATGGTTAGCGGTATATAACTTAAGCAAAAGATGTTAACGACACTTTATTGGTTACTAAAAATTACTCTTTAATATTGGCTTATTAACATTAATGTTCCAATATTTTTAAGGTGCACAGGGGAAACTCGGCCAAATAGAACACATGGAAAGGCCGATTTTCTCGTTTTGCCTCCTAATCATGAATCGACCATCGCGAAATCCGCCTTATCGGTTCATCGCATCGGAAACAAAAAAGCGAAAGCATTTGGAACGATGTTTTTACAATTATTTTATTCAGTTCAGTTATACATACAGTCAGTGTCAGTCGGTAACGCGTGTGAATAGTGTCTGTTGCGTGGCTCAAACGAAATAAAAAATGGCACATGTTTATGCGGATCGGTTTCCCAATCGAGTGCAACCAACCCGTCGTGCCTTTGTTAATGTAGTACAACGGGCTCGTGAATCAGGTGACTTAAGACCTCACAGGGGACCTCACGATCAAATACAGGTCCGCACTGAAATAATTGTCGGGAGGATACTTTATAAAACAAGGTAAACAATTTTTTTTATTTTTATTTTATTTTTACACACACATTTTGGTTTATCTTCCTTCTACAATCATTATCAGAAAATTAATGACTCAACTTCAAAGTCACCCTGTATAGCAAATAAATATAAAAACAAAAGAATACAAGGATAGTGGTACTGGTTTTGGAATGAGCAATTCAAGTACCCGCCGTCGAGAGTATTATTTTATTCAGTTCAGTTATACATACAGTCAGTGTCAGTCGGTAACGCGTGTGAATAGTGTCTGTTGCGTGGCTCAAACGAAATAAAAAATGGCACATGTTTATGCGGATTGGTTTCCCAATCGAGTGCAACCAACCCCTCGAGCCTTTGTTAATGTAGTACAACGGGCTCGTGAATCAGGTGACTTAAGACCTCACAGGGGACCTCACGATCAAATACAGGTCCGCACTGAAATAATTGTCGGGAGGATACTTTATAAAACAAGGTAAAAATTTTTTTTTATTTTTTTTTTTACACACATATTTTGGTTTATCTTCCTTCTACAATCATTATCTGAAAATTAATGACTCAACTTCAAAGTCACCCTGTATAGCAAATAAATATAAAAACAAAAGAATACAAGGATAGTGGTACTGGTTTTGGAATGAGCAATTCAAGTACCCGCCGTCGAGTAGTGCATGCAAAGTCCCCCTTCTTGCACACACACCGATTTTGGACGGCCGGTAAAATATCGGCCGACCACATTTTAATAGTAAACCATTGGCGGGCATTGAAGCTTACACACTGGCCGACCACCGATCGGCACCGGAAAAAAGCCGGTTAGCAGCCTGACATTGTCACTGTGATGCGCCGGTACCGGGAACATAGAGGCATACGTCTTTGAATAGGCGCTTGCACACTCACCGATTATTTAATGGCCGTGATTACGTTTACAATGGATACAGAGATGAACATCGATAATGGCATACTTATTGCGCTAGTGGAAGCAAGACCAGTTTTATGGAATAAAACTTTGGACATATTTAAAGACTAGAGAAGCATGGAGCCAAGTTGATGCGAACTGAATGAGGATTTTAAAGAAATGGAGTCCAAAGAGTAAAACGAACCCAGAACTTTCGCTTAATTCTCCGACGCTTTATACGCTGGTACAGTAACCACATTGCAACAACTCGTTGGGAATTCATTAAAAACAATACTGGAAATCAGTAAAAAACCGGCGCGTGTGTAAGCAGAGCCTACCGATAAAAAATCGGTCGATATTTTACCGGCCGTCCGATGTGTGTACTGAACGTGTATTACCAGGTATGGAATACGTATCTACCTTTAATGGGGCGTTTTCAGTAAAAAAGCATGTTGGTTAAATTTGTGGTTTTTGAAATGATCGATTCAGATATATTGAAACATAGTACTAATTATAAGATAATCAGAGAAGATAAAGCGTGGTTTCAAAGTTTCATCAGTGGATGAGTTAAGTCATTTGAATCTGTAAATAGTGCATTTTTTTGACAAAATAAGCCTGAGTATAATACCGGTTACTACAATTTTTCGTGGCCAAGACGTGTAAAGTTTCTGAGTGGAATGGAGCAGGTGATGAGTTCAAATCTCATTGGTAATTTTTCCTAGATTGACTTTTTCATGCAGTATCTATTTAATATTCAATATATAGGTCCAGAGCCTTTCTGTGGCGTGATGAGAACAGGCACTAGACGGTCCATAAGAAACTGGACCAATAAGGTCCCACTTGGATTCAATAGGAAGGCCATAAGCGCCATAGTGGGACTCCTGACAGGACACTGTCATCTAAATCGACATATGAGACCTCATGCCGTTTATGCAGAGAGCGTGAGGAAACCCCAGTGCATCTCCTGTTTCACTGTGAAGGCCTGACAAGGCAACGGTTTATGATAGTAGGAACCACAGACTCAACAGCGGAAAACTACATGCAAGGCCCTGTGTCAAGGCTATGGAATCTGATCAAAGGATCAAAGCTGGACATAGTGCTTTAAAAAGTGTATAGGGGGTAACAATAGATCCACTTGGGACGCAGTGACGTTAAGGCTGGCAAGCCAACCGATCTCTTCTGTAATCTGAAGTGTGTAACTACAAAAATGCGGATGAAGTTTCGATCGATGATTGAAACGATAAAAAGGCAGCAGTGCCGAAAATTTGTCATTACCACTTCCACCGATATAATTTAGGTCCAAATAGACATGCATTGATGCGGTTTTCACGTTGTTCGCTTATTTTAATGACTATGGACTGTAAAAGTTTTACCGCCCTCCTCCAAAAACTTCCCCAAAGTGAGGAGTAGCGCGAAAAAATGGATATTACATGAAAATAAACCGGGAGAAATGCGGTTTTCACGTTAGTTGATTAGAAAATGCATATTTTACTTACGCTAATTACAAATCGTAAATTATGTAGGTAAAAGTGGTAATGACAAATTTTCGACACTGCTACCTTTTTATCGTTTCCATCAGAACGTGATCGATCGGAACTTCAGCCGCATCTACAAAATGTGTATTATAGGCACGCAACCTGAAAATTGTTCAATTATACGAAATGTAGTGGGATTATGTTTTGCAAATCACGGCTTATGCAGGGTGTCCAATAAGTACCACGATAAACTTAAGGAGAAGGTAGGCTTTCGACTAACCTCCCAAATAACGAAAACTTACCTATATAAAAGTGTCACCGTTTTTGAGATATTGATTTTTTTCTTGAAATTTTAAAAAACGTACCTTTTCATATGTGGTCCTTAGCTGCATTTACAAATGAGGTTATACTTTGTTCATCTTTTCTACAAAATACTTTTAGATAGTTGCTTTATCATATACAAATGCAATGTAGTTAAGAGATATTAAGGAACCATGATCAAATAAGGACTATTTTGGGATTTATAACCTCCTGATATTTTTTCCTCAACTTTGACCATCTGTGGTGAAACGAAAATTTAGCTGCATAATATTAAATAAAAAGATTGCTCATTGAATACAGATTTCGGCAAGGCACCACCCGTACTATTTGGAATAGAACAAAGTGATAGCTGCTTTTTTAAGTGACTGACACACACTACAATGTAATTTTTGGATTTAAATTCAAGTTGCACTGGTTACCGATCAGTGACATGCTAAATAGTACAAAGCTACATTTAAATTACCTGCTCCTGATATGATTTTATGAAACTTACTGAAATTCGGACTCGAGTCAGTAACAATACAAAAGAATTATTTTTTATCATGGTTCTTTAATACCTTTTAACTACATTGCATTTATATATGATAAAGCAACTAACTAGAAGTATTTTATGGAAAAAATGAACAAAGCATAACCTTATTGGTACATGCAGCTAAAGACCACAGATAAAAAGGATCGTTTTTTAAAATTTAAGAAAAAATTCAATATCTCAAAAACGGTGACACTTTTATATTTGGGTCAGGTCAGTCCAAAGCCTACCTTCTCCTTAAGTTAAGTACTTATTGGACACCCTGTATATTATTATATATCAATCATTGTATTCTAAGCCTTTTTGATTGTTACAGGAAGAAAACTGTCGAACAACGAAGTCTATCAAATTGGACAGTACGTGACCGTCAACGGAGACGTAGTTTCTCATCTGAACATATCATCGATTCGCACAAATGATGGTGGACTTTACCGATGTGTGGCTAGCAGCAAGGTAATTTTTTGCAAGCTACTAACGCGAAATATACAAAGACCCATTCCCTTTCTGCAAATTTCCTACCCAGTCTCCAATAAGTTTTCATTTTGAGAGAATCCAAGTATCGTCTTAGGTACAGGAGGACACACGTATGATCAAAACTTTGTGGTGTTTCTTATACAGGTTGGAACAGTGGATCATTCTGCCAGAATCAACGTTTATGGCTTGCCTGTCGTTAGATCAATGGAGAAGCAAGCTATCGTCGCCGGAGGAACTCTTATCGTGCACTGCCCCTTTGCTGGACACCCTGTAGACTCCGTTGTCTGGGAACGAGGTTAGTAAAAAAAATATCCTCATAGTTGTGGGACCCTGTCTATGTCCTTTTCAGTGATCTCACAGTTATACGAGCCCCTTCCCACTTCAGTTGGCCCACTTCAAGGTTTGTACCAAAATATACCTTTATAAACTAAACATGACGAAACTATTTACTTCTAAAACAATTTATTTTCTCGAAAACATTTTAGATATACTCTAGTTGTAAAATTACTTAGACCTATAACTAATAGAACACCGGAACAAATAAACAATGTGCGAATAAATACGCGAAGTTAACAAAGCAACAATTGAAAGATTACCATTGGGTAACATCACCTTTATGTTTTATTACGGCTGAAATTCTTTGGGGCATAGTGTTAACCGAGTTTTAGCAAACATTTGGTGTAAAACAATCCCATATTTCTTGAAGCTTTTGTCTCAGTTCGGTGATTGTACGAGCAGGATGTTGTCGTAGAACCTTTTTCATCTCGTGCCAAAAAGTTCCAATAGGTGACAAATCTGGACTGCTAGAAACCCATTTCAAAAGTAGTACATTATTTTCTTCCATCCATTTTATAGCCTTTTTGAGGTATGGCACGCTGCACCATCTTGCTGAAACACGAAATCTTGGCCGGATGTCAAACATTCTTCCATAACTGGTAAAATCGATTCTTCTAAAATTGCCAAATATTTGTTAGTATCCACATTTCCATCAATAAAATGAAGTTTTCCTACTCCTTTTGATGACATACTGCCCCACACCATAATGGATGCTGGAAATTTCACTTTTCTATTCAGACAGTCAACATGGAATGCTTCATTTTTTTGCGAATACCTCTACTGTGACTGTCACCAACACAAACTTCGAATCGGGCCTCATCACTCCATTGTATTGCACACCATTGTTGAGATGTCCATTGTCTATGTTCTTTAGCCCATCTGAGCCGATTTTACTTTTGCAGTGGAGTTAATAGTGGCTTTTATTCTTTTATAAGAAAACTTACCTTGCTAAAGTGCTAAATCCCAATTTGTGGGCCTCTCTATCAGTTGTGGACTTCGAAATTCTCCTTCCAACAGCGTCACTCCACAGAGCACTTAATTGTAAATAATTGGCACGCCTGTTTTTCACGATTACACTTCTTAATGCTCTTCGGTCGGCATTTGTGATATTACTTTTTTTCACATATCGTGGCTCAATATTAACTGAACCAGTTACGTTATATCTTCTAACAATATTTCTTACACTGTACCGCGATAAGTATAACAAAGTTGCAATTTCTGAGTTTGATTTCCCAGAATTAGAAAAATTTAATTATCAGTAACCGAATTTTCTAACTAATAACCTTTCCTCTACTCATTTTGAAAACCTTAACTACCCAAAACTATTTTAAACGTATTCTGACAGCTGTGATTAATAAAAACAATTGTCATGGCTTTTATTTTTCACAGCCACCTATACGTTATAGACTTATTTTGCATTGAAATGAAAATAGGTTGATATGCTGTAATTGCAACATGTGTTATTTTTATGCGCTGCAAATTTGATTAGGGAGTGATAAAGTTGGTGTTTTCTACTATATATTATCAAAATATTCCTTGTTAATATTTTAAACCTATAACACCCGGCTACATTTTTATTAATTGTGTTTGATAAGAAAAAAACTAAGATTTCAATAGTTGGGCCAACTGAAGTGGGAAGGGGCTAGTAGTAACTTATCACACCATGTTCTGAACTGAAAGGGGCAGAAACGTTCTTTTACTTTTCTCTCACGTTCAATCTACTTATAGCGACAGTTAACTGCAGTGTTTTTACTTCCTACGCCACTGGCGAGGATATATTTAAATCGCAAAAAAATGAAAACAAGATATTGATTTGTCCGTGTTTGTCCGTCTGTCTGTTTGATGAAATTTTCACGCAAGGTTCACACAAGATTTTTTCAATGGATCCAGTCGCGGGGCAGAAAAGTAAAAAAGTGATCGCTCAAACCGTTTTTTCAGAGGATCCTGATGACTTTTGAATAATATTTTAGGCGTCAACAATGGAAGGGTGCGGCGATGTTGGGGCATGGGGAGGGTAGTATCTCATTCTTGGTCATTGTAGATTTTCCCGTACATTTATCCTTAAAACTTAGGATGGCGAACAAATATTTCCGACCCTCGCGTGTCGATTACAAGCTTCTCGATCCTGTCGACGTATGTGTGTACCAGTCGGCCTCCGCTGCTCGACTGGACGTGTACCGTCGATCGTTAACCACGCCAGATGTACACATAGTCTGGATGCTGTGCGCCTACAGGAATTTGCCTGCCTCCAAAACTTTTTGGAGAACGAGAGGTAGCATACCTTCTCAGGGATCCTAATTGTTCAGAAAAACAGCTAAATATGCAAATATTAATTGTATGAGCCTCTTTGACTGACTTGATGCATTTATAATTTTGTTGTACATGGTCGTAGCCAACTTTTTTCTCAGAACTAATGACAGCGTTGTGTAGTAAGTCCAGAGTCAACACCTTGACATTTTCTTCTTTCCTTCAGATGGAAGATTGCTACCGATCAACAGGAAACAGAAGGTGTTTCCCAACGGCACTCTCATCATTGAAAACGTAGAAAGAGCTTCGGATCAAGCAACATACGTATGCGTAGCAAAGAACTCTCAGGGATACAGCGCAAGAGGATCTTTGGAAGTTCAAGTCATGGGTGAGTTCAGCATGTTCCTTTTCCGTGTCTTAACTGCCACCGAACGAATTAATTCAGTTAAAAAATTGACAGCATTGTTTATCCACGTAACATGGCAAGACCATGTACAACCACCGGGTTGGTTACAGATAACTTGACAAAACTCGCTTCGGAGGTTCAACCCCCTATACTGCCTGTAGTCTAATCATATTAGACGAAAATACCCCTGGTTTAGGAAGTAATTGTAAAGTCTGGTTTTACCGATACAAGTTGTTCAAGGGGGTATTTAAAACATGGAAGCATACAATGAGTACACCAATTTTTGTGAGAAAACTTTTCATTCGCCAACAAAGAATTGAGAAAACGTGTTTTTTGGGGATTCAATCGAAAGTGTTGGCAGGAACGAAAAAGCTCTTCATATAAGATTTTTAGGTATTTATGACACCTAGAAAATGAGACTACACGAAAAAGGTCCGACTAATAGCAAAAAGTTATGGACGAAACCCGAGGCAAACTGCAGGTTTTGGCACTTGTCGGTAATGCGGCCAGATGGTTTCTCGCAGATATTTGAAATCCTTCAAATTCGTAGAATTAGTACTTCTAAATAACCACAACATGATTGGAGTAGATTGATCAAGTAATTTTTGAGAATTTCTAATTGTTTTTCCGGCCATCACTACTAGTTTAATGAGCAATATGCAGGGTTAGTTCAAAGGGCATTTTATAACAAAACACATCAGTTTACCTTGCCGATATGAATCGCAAACCATTCCGGAAGATAAGAATGCAAAAAAGGATGGATTACGTTTTTTCTTCTAAACAAATTCAAACATTTTGTATTTGTGAGTAACTCGGTGATAGAACATCCGCTTTGTTTTGAAATGTGTATATTAACGTATGTCTTTCGAATATCGTAGGGCATTTGTTCAATTATTCACAAATACCAAATGTTTGAATTTGTGTAGAAGAAAAAACGTAACCTTTGTATTTCGCATAGAAATAGCATTTATCTTTCGGAATGGTTTGTGATTCATATCGGCAAGATACACACGTGTATTTAGCTATCAAATCTTCTTTGAACCAACCCTGTATACTGCCTAATGAACTATTAGTGATGGCAGAAAACAGGTGTTTTGGGATAAACAATTAGAAATTCTCAATAACTACTTGACTCTACTCCAATTTTGATGTGGTTATTAAGAAGTACGAATCCTACGAATTTGAACAAGTTGCATCAATAGAACCAGACTTTACAATTATTTCGGGGAAATTTGCTAGTATGATTAGACAACTTGCGATCATTGACCACAAGGTAAGGGATGTATGGCTAGAAAAACACTGTTAAGTCTAAACATTTTGAGTCATCATTGGTTATCGAGAGTACACCTACTGCTAGATAAATAGTCAGAAGACGTTTCCAAGCATTTGCTTTGTGTAGAAGGATTTTATTTTAATACTCTTGGATGGAATGGAATTGGAGACCTACAGGAGACTCTCAGTTCCCTTTCAATTGAAAGTGGGGATATTCTATGACGGTAAGCTCATTAATCTGAAGCACCATAGTGAAAGGGCAAACCAGTATTCTTGAGTAAAAATTTGCCATAGAAAAAAAAGCATCTATGTACCTAAGAAAAACAACGATAGTATGACGATTCTGTGGCAGTTAAGCAAAGTATTATATTTTTACAAACTTTCAGAAGCATCTTGGAATTCGTCTATTAGGTACAACCTCCAGCGATTTTTTTCTTTTGAAACAGGTTTTTGCAGGTTTGTTCATATAGGGAATCTTTTCAGCTGGTATGCCGCAAAACTTTAGCTGATTTGGAGTCTCCATGCTGCAGAACAATCAATGGCTATTTCAGCAGATTCGGGAGAGGTTATTTTTATACAGATCTCACGTACTCACGTACTTACAATACCAACATGCTCCTACTACTTCAGATTCATACATCATGTATTTCCTTTCCAGCTGGATAAATTACGTTGAATGTTGAGAGTGTTCCCCTATAGGTAAGGTCGGTTTTGTTTTGTGCGTTGTACAGTCATGCTTTCTTTGCAGCCATCAAAATGATCACATCTTCATCTTCAACACTCCTGTTTTTGTCTGCATTTCATCACACCATGATTTTTGGTTTTTCGTGTGTTTGTGTTTTGTTGCAGTGACTTCATTTTCTAACTAAACAGTTCTAGTAGGGAGAGGCCCATGCGCTATGATAATTTCTACATTGCGTAACTATTCTATCTGATAAAAATCTACATGACTTTATCCACGATATTTTATAATAGTGGAAAAATACTTTGTGAACAATAAAAAGGTGAGAACGTCATTTCAAAATCCTCAAATTTTATCTACAAATTTCGCTTTATGTTTGTATCTGACATTGTCAGGGCATTGATATTATCCTTATTTGTTAAAATTAAAGCCAATGAATTTTGAGCCAAAACTTTTAGGACATACTTACAGCTATAGCTCATTGAGAATCATACTGCTTTGATTCTCTCATTTTGTTGCCCCTGTACAGTATCGCTTTCCATATTTTTTTAAGTAAAGGCGGCCCGATGGAAATTTTCACGCTCAATAAATATATCGAAGGAAAATCCTCCAAAAAACCTTCACACCCTTTGTCGACGTTTCTTCAAGCATCCTTGGTATGGAAATTGTCATTATTTTACGTAGTTTATGATTATCTTTGTAGTTCCCTCACAAATTCATCCATTCGATTTCGGAGAAGAGGCAACAAACTCTGGCGATATTGTCGTTGCAATCTGCACCATAACAAAAGGAGACTATCCCATCAAAATTCATTGAACTCTCAATGGTGGACCAGTTCACAACGTCGATGGTATTACTGTGTCGAACACTAACAAGAGAGTGAGTCAACTCACCATTGAGTCTGTACAAGCTCATCATTCCGGAGAATATACCTGTATTGCTGAAAATAAGGCGGGAACAGCGGAGCATTCCGCAGATCTGAACGTTAATGGTATTCAAAAATTTTCTGCTGTGATTGTATTGCGTTACTTACTTCATTTTTTCCCCTATACATACCCTCTTACACACCTTCTTTCACCTAAAAATATACAGGGTGGCGCATCGAAAACGAAACAGATGAATTTACTGGCAACTCAGTTTTTTTTTGGAAAAACGCTCAGACCCGTCGATTTTGTATTCGAGGGGGACACAAGTTTGGCATGTGTAGCCCCCTGGGCGGTGGTGACATCAACCCTAAAATCTTAAGTGGGGTTGAGTGATACCTTATTTTAAAGCTCTTTCAATTCCCTTTAATGATGATGTAAAATACATGATATAAAGTTGATGTACTTCAGTTCAGTAGTTTTGAAGATTTATTGATTTAAAGCTTAAATAAACCTAATACATCATCATTAGTGGAGATCAATACATTTGGCAGCAAAGTAATTTAAAAATGAAGAATGAACTGACCCGTTAGGCAAGTAAATGTTGAAAATGGCCACCATGACTCTATGCAATAATAAAGATTTTGCTCAAAACGTTGCCGCACATTTTGCAATATTTGAGGACTAATTTGAAGGCACTCATTCACAATTCTTTTTCGCAGGTCTTCTAATGATGTTGGCTGAGTAGCATAGATTTTGCTTTTTAAATGACCCCACATAAAGAAATCAAAAGGTGATAAATCTGGCGATCTTGGGAGCCTTTCAATGGCACATGTTCTACCAATCCATCGATCAGGAAACGTCTGATCTAAATATTGTCGAACACGTAATGCGTAATGTGGTGGGGCACCATCCTGTTGGAGCATCAACCTTTAAAGGTCTCTCAATTCCCTTTATAATGATGTAAAATACATGAGCTTCAGTTCAGTAGTTTTGAAGATTTATTGATTTAAAGCTTAAAGTAGACTTTAATAGGTACACCATATTAGTTTGTACTACTTTCAGAAGAAATTTGACGAAAAGAATTTACTTAATAAGTAAATGCTTTTCTTCACTACGCCTATGGTTTCTTTATCATTTTGTTGTTGAAAATAGCTATTGGAGCGTTTTTTGTGGCAAAAAAGTTATTTCTTGAAGAAATTTAAGAAAATATCTCGTACTTCTTTTAAATAGTGCGAACAGCAGAAATATTTAATGAGCGACATTAGAACAGTAACGTGCATCGAAAATATGTGCCAGAACTTGTAGCTAAATTTCGGGAAACTGGGTTAGTCGCCAATAAAAAACGCAACATCATAAGGAACGAAGCAATAGAAGTGGGGGTTTTAGGGCAAGTTTATGTAGATCCTACGTTAAGTATCCGCAAATTGGAGACTTTGTGTGGTGTTAGTCGACGTACTGTTCAACGGATTCTAAAGGCCCATAGTTTTCATCCATATAAAATTCACCTGGTACAAGAACTTAATTAACTTTTTACGGCGATTACAATTTTGTGTGGAGATGTGAGTGAACGAATTATAAACGATGAACATTTTCTATTCAACGCTTGCTTTTCCGACGATATTGGTCCGATTCTAATCCCAGAATTTATCATGAGGTTCATACGCAGCAGCCACAAAAATTAAATGTTTGTTTTCTTACCTGGAAATTTGAACGGTGAAATGTATTTGGAATTACTGGAAGACGCCATAGATCCTGCATTAACAGCTATAATTGAAAATCAGAATGATCGGCGGTACATTGCGAATAGGTTGATGTTCCAACAGGATGATGCCCCACCACATTACGCATTACGTGTTCAACAATATTTAGATCAGACGTTTCCAGATCGATGGATTGGTAGAAGAGGTGCCATTGAATGGCCCCCAAGATCGCCAGATTTATCACCTTTGGATTTCTTTATGTGGGGTCATTTAAAAAGTAAAATCTATGCTACTCAGCCAACATCATTAGAAGACCTGCGACAAAGAATTGTGAATGAGTGCCTTCAAGTTACTCCTCAAATATTGCAAAATGTGCGGCAACGCTTTGAGCAAAATCTGTATTATTGCATGGGGAGTCATGGTGGCCATTTTCAACATTTACTTTCCTAAAGGGCCAGTTCATTCTTCATTTTCAAATTACTTTGCTGCCAAATGTATTGATCTCCACTAATGATGATGTATTAGTTTTATTTAAGCTTTAAAGCAATAAATCTTCAAAACTACTGAACTGAAGTACATTAATTTTATATCATTATAAAGGGAATTGAAATACCTTTAAAATAAGGTATCACTCAACCCCCCTTTCCACCCGCCCACGGGTCTGAGCGTTTTTCCAAAAAAAAAACTGAGCTGCCAGTAAATGCGTCTGTTTCGTTTTCGATGCGCCACCCTGTATATCGAATCCATTTAAAAAAACAACTTCGAATCAAACGAATATAGTTCATGTAAGGTACTAAAAATTGAAACCCTTTTTTCGGACATGTATCAAATTTATGACCTTTCCAAAAAAAAAAAAAGTATGACGATGTCAACAGCTTAGCTTATCTTTGGTTTTGCCCTCAAATTAAAATGGTTGACGAGAAAGCATGATTGCAGCAGATTTCACTTTTATGAAGTAAAGAGGAACTCTCTCCACGTTTGTGAATTATTATATTGCAGTTGAATTTCTAGCTTCACTGGAACATACTTAATACTTAAGCATCCCGTGTAGACTCGATACCTCTTCTTATTTATTTATCGAGCAAACTTAGCTTTTATCACTTTATTTCTTTCCCAATAGTGAAGTACAAAATAGTTTCTGTATCTTTCATCAGTTATTCTGATACAATTGAATATTAAGGGCCGACACTCTATGTCTCAGTTTGGTTAAAGCTTTTAAATTTCTGTTCTGGGCATTTTTTCTATAAAAATGTATAATAGTTCTTCCCCAGATAATTCCGTTTTCCTTTGGAGAAGAGGCGATCAACTCTGGAGATTCAACATATCTAACATGTTCAGTCCATAAGGGAGACTTGCCTATAAACTTCTCCTGGCTTCACGATAACGTCAGTATTGGATACTTAGAAGGAGTACTGATTTCCAAAGCCGGAAAAAAGGCCAGTACGATCACAATAGATTCGGTACAAGCTGAGCACTCGGGGGTGTATACTTGTGTAGCAGAGAATAAGGCTGGAAATGATAGGTTTTCAACCAGACTCAATGTGAACGGTACTTAAATCAAGAAAATGATATTTTCACCTTTTATAGTTTTGAAATCTCTGATTTTATCCTAACAGTTTTTGTCTCAATCTTTTCCAGATTTTATCACCTTTATAACCATTTTTCAAACAAAAATGCGTCGTTTTTTTGAAATACGAAACAAATATAGGAGTAATGTACAGGGTGTTCCTTAATGATATGCGAATATCTAAGGGTGTGAATCTGCATGAAAAATTAATGTTAGTTTTCTTTATAAACTATGGTCCAAAAATGTTTCCTTACAAAAACTCGGGGTGTTGAAGTTTTAGGAAAAAAATGAAAATTAATTAATATTTTACCGCTTCAGATATTTCACCGATATTTAGTAAGTAGTGAAATTTAATTAAGTTCAATATTTTTCAATGCAAAAATAATTTTTAACTTTAACAATGGCGTGCGTACGGATATTGACTTCGATATTTTTTAAGAAAAAAATGGTACGTCCATGGTTCTTTTGCCAATTAAAATTATTTTTGAATTCTCCGTTCAATTTAAAACAAATGATCTCTCCTGAGTTGCTTTCCTTCGATGCGCCATTTTTGAGTAAAAAAATAAAAACCGTCCTATTGTCTAACCTGCAAAATTATTATTAATTCAATTGGAAAAATTAAACACATTAAAAGTAACAAACAACAACAACTGACAAAATAACCATGACATTAAAACCAACGAAATGGTTACAAAAATTGTTGAAAATGGCCCCCTTCACTTAGTATGCATGCTTCCGCCCTCCTTCTCATGGAATTGCGCATTCGTTGAAATAACCCTGGAGTGTTTTTTATTCTGTCACAAGCTGCAACTACTCTTTCTCTGAATTCCTCTACAGTGTTAACGGGACTTCTGTTCATTAGTGTCTTAAGATAGCCCCATGAAAAGAAACCTAAACTGTTGAGGTCTGAGGACCTATGTAGCCATTCTTGAGGCCCACCGCGGCTAATCCAACGATTTGGATAAACAGTTTGTAAATAATTACGAACCGCTACACTGAAATGCGCTGGTGCACCATCATGCTTGTGCTACATATTGTTTATTATTACTAACGGAACATCATCAAGCAGCAAAGGCGACTTTTGCTGAAGAAAGTTGAGGTAAGTCTGTCCGACAAGTCGTCCCGGCAAGAAGAATGGACTAATAAAGTGGTTGCCAATAATTCCTGCCCATACGTTAACCGAAAATTGGTGTTGGAAATGGGTTTCGGTTAGGGCATAGGGATTTTCTTCTGCCCACAAATGAATATTGTGGAAATTCTGAGTGGCATTTGGAGAAAAATTAGCTTCGTCCGTGAACAGAAACATTGATTCAAATTGCGGATTCTAAATATCAGTGAAATATCTGAAGCAGTTCTGAAAATATTAATTAATTTCCATTTTTTTCCTAAAACTTCAACACCCCGAGTTTTTGTAAGGAAACATTTTTGGACCGCAGTTTATAAAGCAAACTAACATTAATTTTTCATGTGGATTCACACCCTTAAATATTTGCATATCATTAAGGTATAGGTACTAGGTATATTTCGCGCATAAATGAGTGGCCACCAAAACTTATGAAGTTCAGCTACAAACTGATTTTGATGTGTCATGGAGTCTATGTCACTCATTTACCTTGATTCAGCCGACCGCATCTTAGAAACAAGTT